ACACAGGACAAGGACAATACACAATATTTTTATTATTTATTTATTTATTTGTTTATGTATTTTGCATAACATATAATAATAAAAAAAACACACACTAGAAAAAAAAGTAGGTGCAGGAAGAGGCAAAAAAAACCCAAAAGAGCGCATATTAAAGCCTCCACCTTATGAATACATTAAAAATTGTCGCATTATCGTTGTGAATTAAAAAATAATAATAATAAAATAAAAAATTATATTTAAACACCATGGATTAAATTCAATTGATTCAAACACAATGAAACATCCACAACTGAATGATTATCAAACATTACCATGAAACATCAAACAACGTGGCACAGAATGATGCTCTCAGAATTCTGCTAAAGACTCCAAGGTGGGAAAGTGCTCGTGCTTTGTTTGTGACTGTAAATATTCCCACATTCCAGGCTCTAATCAGGAACCTCATGTTTAAATTTATGTGTAGGTTAAATGAATCAAGAAATGGAATTATAACGAGCTTGACAGATAATAAGGAAAGTGACACCCAATATTACTCTGTCATCTGGAAATGTTGGAAGAGCAGCTGCGTGTATTTGAATTCTATGGACCTTATGTCACTGTAGGTTTTTTTTTTTATGTGTATGTGTATGTGTATGTGTATGTGTGTGTGTGTGTGTGTGTGTGTGTGTGTGTGTGTGCGTGTGTGTGTGTATGTGTGTGTGTGTATGTGTGTGTGTGTGTGTGTGTGTGTGTGTGTGTGTGTGTATGTGTGTGTGTGTGAGTGTGTGTGCTGGTGTGTTTATATATAGGTGTAGCGTATTGCGGGTGTGTGTCTTTCTGTGTACGGTTTGGACCCTGAGTCTGTAAATAAAGATGCGGGTCCGGTCAAGCAGAAGTAAACATCAAGGCCAAAAATTCAAGTTAATGCATCTGATATAAAAATGTATTGAACAGATACATATGTACTCTAGTTTATGAAACTGTTGACCTTTTTTCTGTACCATTTTGGTTCTAAAGTTCCATATGTTTTAAACAGACCATGTATGAAACATGGAACAAAAATTATTTCCCAAATTTCAAAGACCTGCAAATCATGTAAATAAATGGATGTATTTCCATCATATCTTGTGTTATTCCATCTTTGAACTGTTGATGAAGGTACATGATTTTTCAAAAAAAAATGTATTTAAAATGATAAAAATTTGCTTGGAAGGACTGACATATTTTATAGAAATAGTTTCCTTTCATTTTGAAGTAATATTAAAGTATTCGGAAGAAAAAAGCGACAAATGATGTAAAATCCTGCACCTTCTACTTGTTTGTACAATTTTCCCTCCGTTACTTTTCCCTCCGTTACCATGACCTTTCTTAATAAAAAATCTCATGAGTCAAAAAGTAAGAGGTTTTTCAACCTAATCTTGTACCATATGGTAGAAAACTATATGAAGCAAATATTCAAACCAGTTTGTTAAGGATATGGAAGTGAGAACCAAGAGTTATCACTGTTTGGATTTATTGCCCAAAAAGTGCTGCATATTTCATTCCCTCTGTTACCGACATGAGTTTTAAATTTTTTTTTGTCAACAACTTGAAAGAATATCACAGGTTTAACTTGACCCTGTTGGAGTGTAACTCTTTCCTACATTCTGATACTTTACTTATTTCAATAGTCCCTCTAGTTTCTGAATAAGAGACATTTGAATGTCAAAAATCTGCCCCTGTTTCCCTCCGTTACCACTTGACCCGACCCAAAAATAAATAAATAAATACATAAATAATAATAATAATAATAATAATAATAATAATAATAAATAAATTAAGAATATAAAACAAAAACATTTTAACTGTGCACTAGTTTGAAGAGCGTCTTAGTGAATAATATAATAACTGAATGCCGTCCTGTGGAACCTTCAGGCAAAGCAATAACATCGCCATGGAGACAAGCAGGTGGCAGACCCTCCGCCAGAAAAAGTTACACGGTGTACTTTTCCAGCGCAGTACTGTAATCCTCTCTAGCCGCGCTGGTAGGAGATATATATTTATGTATTTGTGTGTAAGTATAAAATGTGGGCATATATCTTTTCCTGTGTGAAAGCCAGTACTTAGAGAGTGAGTTAAAGCCCCCTGGTGAATAATTGACACACACACCCCTCCCTCCTCTCTTCCCTCTCTCCCTCCCTCTCCTACAGTCCTCCCACGCTCTCCCGCTCACCTGCTGTCCGGCGTCGCCCTCCTTTCTCTCGCCCTCCCTTCTTTCTACCTCTTTCCATCGCTTCTCTCTCTCCTTTTCTCTCTCTATCTCTTTATCTCCTCCCCCTCTCTCCCCGTCCTGCTGTGTGTTTCTTTCCATGGTCTTAATGCACTCACTCATCAGCGCTCCTCTGTGCACAGCCCGCCGCTACACCGTGAGTACTATTACTTAACTATTACTTTTACTGTCCGCAAATATAGCTCTTTGCGTTGTTATTTTTTTTGTATTTTAGTATAGTAGTAGTAGTAGAGTACCTGTACTACTACTTACTTACTGACAACTTAATAAAATAGCTTTTACACACGATTTAAAATGACTAACAATTAAGTAAGATTTAAAATTGTGCTCTTTGGATGTTAACTTTATCGAGTGTTGATGGAAAAATTTGGCAAAATTTTAAACAATTTGCGATATTTTCATTAAATTTGACCAGTGTTTTTACTCTATTTTTTAACGTTTCAGCTTAAAAGTATCACAAACTCATGAGTGAAGGTAACCAAAATCATATTCCAGCACAAGTTTGAAGTAAAAAAATATTTCAAATTGAGGTTCACTTAAACAAAATAAAACAAAAAGAAAAATGGACAGTTACAAAAACTTAAATGAACTGAAACTGAAATATTGGTACTGGTCAGGTGGTACTTTATCACCTACTTATTTTATGAATTTCTGTAATAAAGTCCTATTTCTTCACTTTTTGTTATAGTCAATTCAACTTCTTCTTTTGTCTTTTTACTTTTATTACTATAATTCTAATGTCTGCTGTACAATAACTCAAATAACATTCAGATTTAAAGGTGCACTGTGTAGCTTTTCAGAGGCTTATCTATGCACATGTTGTTGTATTGTCTGGTCTGTTCTATAGTAAGATATTAAAAACATATCCTCATTTAGACAAGCAGATTATACCACCACATAATGCTAAAGGTCAGATCTGTGGGGAGGCGAGTCCACTCACAGTAAGAAGGCAGGTTTTTCTAAAAGCGTGAACAAATATGGAGACTATAAAGACTACAAGCCTCAACTGTGAGGTGTAACAGTGTTGTGACATTAATGTTTAATGTTTAATATGCTTAAAGCTTCAGTGTGTAGTTTTCTCGAGGTGGCACCTGCATGACTCCGTGGGAATAAAAGGTTAAAAGCATACTTCAGAGCATTGTCCATGGTTTTATGCCACACAGAGCAAGGCCAAATAAGAATCAGGTTTGTGGAGATGCAAATCCACTAGGTTTTTAGTGTAATAAACTAAATAAACCAAAATGGACACTTTTACTTAAGCCCTTAAAGCCAACTGTCACAAATATGTGATAAACCATTGGGATCAAGATATAAGCCGAGACAGTGGCTGCATTCCCCCAATAATGGTTAGTGCATCTGCAGGAACCTTTGGCAAGCACTTGTTTCCAGTTGTTTTTATTTTTAATTTCTATTTTTCTTTCTATTTTTTATTTTTATTTATTTATTTATTTGCTATAGTGTCAAATCCCAAAACATGCTACATAGGTCTCCAGGAAGAACAGTTGATAGTCAAGGTCAGTTAAATACAATCAATCAATGAACCTGCCCAGGGACGACAGGTGGAAATGAGGAATGATGCTACAACCTGATGTACAAACATCTCTCCTGTTAAGGTTCATGTAAATAATGTGCACTGTCTCAAATAAATAAACAAGTAAAGTCACCTTAATAATATAAACTTAATTTACTACTTAAAGGTAAAAACACATAAAAACATTTTTATATACATCTATGTAAATTCAGGCGTTAAGGGGTTAAGTATATTTTTGACTAAAGGTTACATACTGAGGCTTTAACTAGTCTACCAAAACTCAAATGTTTTCTAATTAGATGCAGACAGTGTCTAACTGTCTGAGTTTTTCAGAGTCAGAGTTTTACAATACACTTTTTTATAAATGTTTTTGAAACAGTATGTACCATTTCTAAAACATTTCACCAAATCTTTCATTTTAAATGTGCTTTTTTGACCTAAAACATCTGTGTTATGGATAATAGTTAGTTAGTTACTTCCGGAACCAGAGCAGACTTTGAAGCAGGCTCGACTGTTGACCTCCACTGGGAATTTTCCTCTGTGGTCACTTCTGCTGGATGTCCACTTTGGCGGCCTCTAGTGGCCAACATCAAAGTCCCTATGTATTCATTCATGTATTTATTTTGGGCAAGTACGAAGATTTATATTATTATACAATGGAACACAGAACATTAATGAAATCAAAAATAGAAATAACCACAACAAAAAAATTACCCAAAAAGGAGTAGGAAGAAGAAAACATATTTAATCCCACCCTCACTCTTCTAATCTAACACGTGAGCTTTCTTTTGCATGTTTCAGACATTTTGCATGAAACTATATGAACTATTTACAAGGTGGTAAAGGTTAAAGATACCAACAATGGTGCCAGACAACAAATACAAGTCATGTAATGGACGGAACACACCAGCACACGGAACAACCAACATAAACCAGCACTACAATATGTTCTAATATTATCACCCTGTCTCTATTTACTGTGACCAGACCATATGTTTATAGAAAAACAAATTTATGGATATTTTGGCATTGGTTGAGACGTGTATACAGACTGTTCCAGAGTTTTACACCACATATAGACACACAGAAACTTTTACAAGTTGTTCGAACATTTGGCAATTTGAAATGTATGTATCAGTCTCATCTCTGCTCATAAGCTACATCTGAAAGTCTACACTGTTCTTATCTGAGCTCTCCTCATTCCTTTGTCCAGGTGCAGTGATGTGGCTCCTACAGGTGACTCTTTTGCACATGCTCAGTGGCTATATCCTCCCTCGCTCCCACAGCGGCTGGTGCCAACCGGGCTGCGACTGCCGGGGCGAGCTCAAGTTCACCATCTGCTCCCGCGCCATGTTCACCGCCCTGCCCTCGCGAGTCCCGCCCACCACCGAGCTCCTGGACCTGTCTCACAACCTCATCTCCACCATCCCCGAGCACGCGCTGTCTCACAACCGCAAACTCCGCATCCTCCTGCTCCAGCACAACAACATCAGCCTGGTGGAGGACGGCTCCTTCTCGCAGCTCGAATTCCTACAGAAGTTGGACCTGAGCTGGAACCGCATCCGCAGCCTGAGTGAGGGCTTCTCCCTGGGGCTGACGTTCCTCCGAGAGCTCCAACTCGCCCACAACCTCCTGACCAGCCTGGACAGCCGGAGCTTCGCACACTTAGACGGGCTACAGAGGCTCAATCTGACGGGGAACTTCATCCACCTGATCCGGATGAGGTCTTTTGCCTCCATGAGCTCCCTGAGGCACCTCCATCTCGCAGGCAACCAGCTGACGGACCTCAAGAGCGGAATCTTCTCCATGTTGCGTTCCCTGGAAGTTCTCAACTTGGAACGTAACTACATCAGCGAGACGGACGTTGGTGTCTTCAAACCTCTGACCAGTATGACGTTGCTCAACCTCGCCAACAACCAAATGTCCACCGTTTACTTCAAGACCTTCCTGAGCATCCACACCTACAGCACCCACATCCTGATGGAGGGGAATCCGTGGAACTGTGATTGCGATCTCCAGAGAGTTTTCCGGAAACTGCGCACCATTCAGAGGCTTTTCCTGGACGACTACATCAACCTGACGTGCAGAGAGCCAGAAGTTCTGGAGGGGTACCGGCTCATGGAGGTGGATGCAGAGCTGTGCATTGCCGAGACGGTCACGGTGCTCATCATCACCGTTACTGTGGTGATCACCGTGCTCGCCGCCATGCTCATGGGAGAGAGGAAGAGGAAGAAGAAGAAGAAGGGCAAGCACTGGACCCAGCAGGGGGAGCTGTCGGACGAGTCGGATTATTAAGAGTTGCCGGATGTTTAAATAGACTTTAAGACTTTAAGAATGACATTCCTACAAACTTAAAAATGCTCTGTTGGCCTGATTTGGATCCAATCACGTGGCAGATTGTGGTACTTTTATGCCACATTCTACTGGATGTCAGTTGTGGATAAATCTGAGTCAGTTCTCCCAACATCGTTGTAAATGTGTTCTGTTGCAGGAGTTGGAGAAAATCTGGATGCCACTAGCTCCTGCTAATAAAAAGAGTCGGTTAGTTGTCGGTGACTCAGTTGTGGCAGTTTGACTTTTACATGTTCAGAAAAACACTTCTGTCTTCTGTCAAATGATGTGAAAGAAAGTCTAAATGTCACTACAAAGTTTTTAGAAGACACTTTCTCTCCATGGTAACTTAACATACTTAACAAAATGACTAAAAGACAGTTCCCCCGTTTACTGTGTGCACGGACATTTTGCTGTGACTTAAATCCAACCGACTGGTCTCGGACTCAGAAACCCAATTTGACTGACTGTTCCATTGCACTTTCTTGAGGTGGAAGTTGGTTTTCTCAAAGTTCCGAGCACAAGTAGATGCAGGTTCTTATGTTTGCTTTATAGTTACATGAAAACCAGAAAAGCTTAATATGTTTTTTTTTTGTTTTTTTTTAACATTTTAACACAATGCACTTTTGATTCTGCAATCAGCAAGTGCATATACAGGAAGGATTTGAACAGAAGCTCTTTCAGATGGACACTGCAAATACTAACTCTAACCCCTCACACTCTGCACTTGTGAGACTCTTGTTATGGACGACTACACGTCTCTGTTCATACTTGTGATGCTAACTATAGGCATGCTCTGTCTGAGGCTTAGTAAGATTTTAAACTGAGCTTTGTTTCAGAAAAATCTGAAAATACCATAATATGAACCCTTTATTTATTCTTAATAAAGCATTAACAAAGACTTCATAATGAACTAATTTTAAAAAATTTAAAGATTTGCTCAGACCATAGTTTAAAAGGCCCGTCTCATGTAAAATCACTCTTTTCACATTGTATCTTCTGCACATAAACAAGCACAGTTTGGGTTTTGGAACATCCATTACACAATAGTTCTGAAATCTTACTGATTTCTTGGAGACAGTCACAGACCAGGAACTATGAAAGACCAGCAAAAATAAATGCTGCAGTTTGCTTTTAGTTCTCTTCAGTGGTTTACTCGTGGTAAACTTACAGCTCTAGGATCACCATCACTGGACCCTGGTACTGTGGGAACAACATCCTTTTCCAAAGTGTCGCTTCTGCTTCATTGTAAGTTCAGTTTTACCCGTAGTACTCAAAGCAGTCTTAAGTGAAGTGTCGTTCACAAACAAAAATATTCTTGGGGACCTTTTTGTCTGTGTTCCCAGAAATAAACTCCAGCCACCTAGCACACCTTACTTCTTCTGTCAGCATGACAAATAATTTGGACTTGCCATCACTGCCTAATACGCACTTTCTCCATGAGGACATGGTTACATGGTTACAAAAAGCATGTTTGAAGCGAAACATAAAGATAAATAACACAGAACAGCAGACTTGTACGGTGCAGATGCAGGACGGTGTGAGAGTGGGTGAAGGCTATGTTACGTCAAACGCATCATAGGTGTATCTGCCACGTCATCGTTGTAGCAGCTTTAGTTCATTTTCACGTGGGAGGGTGGCAGAAATATGCTGCAATTTGTTAAAAAAATCGCCGAATCAATCTAAAAACCACTATGAAAAGTTGATTTTGCATGAGATGGGCCCTTTAAAAGGACTGGACTAATGGAGTGTGATGTCACCCATAACAGTTACAGCTCTGAATTTGGAGCGGCGAGTTCCATATTAGGAATAAGAATTTATTTTACAGACAAAACAGCAAAATAAAAACACCAGAATCATGTAGAGAAGCTTAATATGAACATTTTACAAACAAAATGAGGGTCCTGACAGTAGACGTTACAGAGAGCGAGTCTTTGTTCATGCTTTATTAAGGCTAATTAAAGTGTAGTTATCATAAAGTGTTACCTAAAATATTTTATTCTTTTACACTATTTTAATATTTTTCTTATAGATATAAAATATGAAAATGTGAAATAAATATATAACTAATGTTTTGGGTTGAATGTCACTTTTTTGGAGCATACTGACACTTTGCAGCAACAACATTCTCTGGGGTTGTGATGCTAACTGAAGGCACTGCTTTGTTTGAAAATCTGTTCAAATCTGAGCTTCATTTTAACAAAATCTGACCGAAAAGAATGTGACAGCGAAGTGTTCATATTTTGGAATCTAAATGTGGGGTTGCAGGTTCAAATATTGCTTGCATTGTACTTCGGCAAGACACTTGACCCACAGAGGGGGAAATGCAACAGACAGGTCCAAACAGGACAGCTCCGAGGGGGTCAAGAGGCCCTGTAAATAATGTAGTGCCCAGGAGGAGGTCTGAGCTCTTTGGGAGATTACAGTCACTTTGGTGAGAACACTGTAGGCATTATATTACATCATTTGGAAAAATATCGACTTGTGGATGGGTAGAGTAACCAAAAATTGTACTTAAAGAAGGTCTGTTTTTTTATACCATGTTAGTCCAATGAGGTTCATTTGGTCTTACAATTATTTATGTTATTAGGTTGAGGAGAAAATTCAGTTTGTCGATTGGACAAAAGTTAGTTTGGTGGAAGACCTTTCGCAGCTCATCCAAGCTGCTTCTTCAGTTACTTGGATGAGCTGCGAAACGTCTTCCACCAAACTAACTTTTGTCCAGTTGACAAACTGAATTTTCTCCTCATGGATTCTACCTGGACGACTGAGGATTCTTCACATATGTTATTAGGTTCTTTTTTCAGACCTAGAATTTGTTTTCATACCTGACAGTTTGTTCTGCTCCCTGTGCTCTTCCTCAGAGTCTCGTGACTTTTCTGTGACGTGTCATTCAGCTGATTTAAACAGGTTTTGGTGCTGTCTTCCTACCGGCGGAGGCAGGACGACAGCGCCATCTGCAGTCCCACTTCCTCAGGACAGTATCCCAGGTGTGTGAGAGTAAAAAAGCCCCTCGTCCCGGTTTATAGTCTCATGGGCACGTTTCCGTATTTCGATCACCTCTTTAATCCAGCTACAATGTACGGAAGGGCAATCAAAAGCGCCAAAACCTGTTTAAATCAGCTGAGTGACAGGTCACAGCAACATCATGTGACTCTGAGCAAAAGTGCAAGGAGCAGAACAAACTGTCAGAAATGAAAACAAACTCTTGGTCTGAAAAAAGAACCTAATAACATACACTATCAGAAGACCAAATGAACCTCATTGGACTAACATGGTAGAAAGCTTAAAAAAAAACTCTCTTTAAGTACAATTTCCATCCACACGTCGATATTTTTCCAAATGATGTAATATAATGCCTCCAGTGTTCTCACCAAAGCGGCTCTAATCTCCCAGAGAGCTCAGACCTCTTGTTAGCTCTCCAAACTGTCAGGTATGAAAACAAAATTTCTACCACGTTGTTCCCTCATCAAAAACATGTCTGAAGAGCTTTTAGATGTCATTTGTGCATGTTTGAGAAATCTAGCGATCTCTCCTGAGCCTGATTCAAACCCGCCTTATGGTTAGCTATATGATTCTGTGCAACACTCCGCCCACAAGCCAATGTCACCCACGCTCCCACTCGACAATTCTCCATAAATATACTAAAACAAAATACAGAATCATAAACACCAACTCATATCTGTATAACTGCTGTCCGTGATGAGCTTTATGTGACTGGAGCGAACGCTATGGGCGACGTCACACTCCTTTACACAGTCTGTGGCAGTGTTTCCCAAACTTTTTTTCTGGGGACTCATATTTTAAAATTCAAAAATCTTCGCGATTCAAGTCAACAGACATTACATTATTCATAAATCACAAAATAAAAGTGGATTTGAGCATTATTGAACATTCATGAGGATATTTTATTGTTGTGTGAGTAATTGTGTCTCTGAACAATTAGTATTACTCAAGTTTGAAACAATGAAAAACACAAACAATAAATGTAACCCTATATACATATAAATATAAATAAATAAATAAAATATAAATATATATATATATATATATATATATATATATATATATATATAAGGAAAGCGGCTACGGCCAAATACCTGCAAAGAGTGAGGCAAGTCCTTAGAAGCCAGCTCAATGGCAAGAACAAGGTGCAGGCAATCAACAGCTACGCCCTGCCAGTGATCAGATACCCTGCAGGGATTGTAAGCTGGCCAAAGGAGGAGATACAGACCACAGATGTTAAGACACGAAAGCTCCTGACCATGCATGGAGGGTTCCATCCCAAATCCAGCACCCTGAGACTGTACGCAGGCCGGAAGGAAGGGGGCCGAGGACTAGTGAGTGTGGGAACCACTGTCCAGGATGAAACATCCAAGCTCCTTGAGTACATCAAGGACAAGGCCCCAGCAGATGAGGTGCTCAGAGAATGTCTCAGACAGTGGGGTCCAGAGGAAGAGGTGCTGGAGGGACCATCATGGCAGGACAAACCCCTACATGGGGCGAACCACCAGAACATAACTGAAGTGGCTGATATCAAGAAATCCTACCAATGGCTTGAGAGGGCTGGTCTGAAGGACACACAGAGGCACTGATCCTGGCTGCTCAGGAGCAGGCCCTGGGCACTCGAGCAATAGAGGCCCAGATCTACCACACCAGACAAGACCCACGGTGTAGACTGTGCAAAGAGGCTCCTGAGACAGTCCAGCACAGAACTGCAGGGTGTAAGATGCTGGCAGGGAAAGCATACATGGAGCGACATAACCAAGTGGCGGGCATAGTGTACAGAAACATCTGTGCAGAGTACGGGCTGGAAACCCCAGGATCAAGGTGGGAAACACCTCCAAAGGTTGTGGAGAATGACCGAGCCAAGATCCTGTGGGACTTCAGATACAGACTGACAGAATGGTGATGGCGAACCAACCAGACATAGTGGTGGTGGATAAGAAACAGAGCAGAGCCGTGGTGGTTGACATCAAATACCAAGCGATGGTAATATCAGGAAAAAGGAACACGAGAAGCTAGAGAAATACCAGGGGCTCAAGGAAGAGCTGGAGAGAGCCTGGAAAGTAAAGGCATCAGTGGTGCCTGTGGTGATCGGACACTCGGGGCTGTAACCCCCAAACTGGAAGAGGCTACAACAGATACCGGGAAAAACAATGGAACATCTCAGTCCAGAAAAGTGCAGTACTGGGAACAGCAAAGATACTGCGCAGAACTCTCAAGCTCCCAGGCCTCTGGTAGACGACCCGAGCTGAATGAGGGTGAGAGACCAACCACCGTGGAAGGTGAGAAACACATTATATATATATATATATATATATATATATATATATATATATATATATATATATATATATATATATATATATATATATATATATATATATATATATAGTGTTGGGGAGTAACAGATTGCATGTACCGGCATTACATTATCAGAGTACACATTATGAATAACTGTATTCAGTTACAGTTACTGTTTCAATGAGTGGTAATTGGATTACAGATACTTTGTTGAAATAAACGGATTACACAGCAGGATTTTCCTGTTTTCACATTTGGGGCTATATTCTCTTTTTTTTTCCCCCGGTAATTCCACTCATTGCCGGACACTTAACCAGGTTTAAAACCAGGTCTAAAACCAGGACTAAACCAGGTCTAAAACAGGATTTAACAGGACTAAATCATGCTGCGTGGACGTGTCTCCTTGTCTTCTATCAGTAATATTTTTAATACGGTTAAGTAAAGTCTCTGCCTTTTTATTTTCTTTTAACAGACAAAACATCTTATGTTACGATATCCAAGTCTTTGCTTCTCTACAGCAAATCAAGTAAACCAAAGTATTCAGATTACGTTACTCACCTTAAGTAACTTAATTAATTCTGTTACAAACTACATGACTCTTAAAAGTGTCATTTCTTTAAAAAGTTACTACTACTATAAGTAAATATAACTGAGTACTCCCCACCTCTGTTTATTCTTGTAACTCATGATCGTTTCTCATAAAGTCCATCCATCCACACATGGCTGTTGGTGAAAGAACATTGTGTAGAGCTGTGACCTCTAGAAGGACAGAGTACAGTTACATTGTGGTACGTACTTCTCTGAGAGGTTTCAGACAGTAGTTTTTGAGTCAAATATTGTACAGTGTAACAGAAACATTTATACAGGAGCCAACTTTACTCAAAACACCAATGGATTTTTATCATTTTTCTACAAACATGTTGGTTTGATATTTCCAGGCTAGTTTTTGATCAACAATCACCCCCAAAAACTTAGTTTGAACAACTTGGTTAAGTTTGATACCATACTAACAGACTGTCATATCTTGACTACATGTATTATTTTTTGGACTGAAAATCATAAAATTAGTCTTTTGTAGATTTAGAGAGAGTTGATTTGCTTTAAACCACTCAGAAATGATTGATAATTCCTCATTTGCCTCTCTCATCAGAGCATTTAGATTGGGATGAGAAAACAACATTATAACTTAGAGCAGATCTTTTTTCACGTCTCTTTCCTCTTGATTTAGTCCAAGTGCAACTGAAGCTTTCACACCAACAAAAATGAACTGAACTTAGAGCTTCTGGTTTGAATGGAACATTTGGTGTGCATTAACTGCTGTCTGTGTGAAATCACCCTGTATGCTACATAAAAACTATTTTATTGCCTGGTGCGGACCAAAAAATCCAACTAGCGGTGTAAAAGTGCTCTTAGGCTGGGTTCCACCTTGTGATGTCATGTGTTTCACTGTGTTTTTAAACTCTATACACCTTCACTAGAATCATTTGGATTATTTCAGACCTGGAATTGACAGTCTTTACTGAACTAAAGGTCAAAGCAGCTTTCCACCACTACATGACATCACAAGGTGGAATTTGAGCTCTGGAGATGTAGACAGACAAATAATACAGGATTATTCATGTGTGAATGAAACAAAACACAAGTCCAGGTCTTTTTTGATGAGGGAACATTCTAACACAGATTAAAGTTCACAGGAGTCACTTTTGTGTAACTGGTGGTTTTCAGATTGTAGAATGTGATGATGTCACACTCCCAGATGGGGGCAAGGGTTAGTTGTTTCTATTGATAACATTGTACTTTGCCATCAAATGTGTAAAAAATAAACACACAAGTGCTGAACTGGATCATTTCTACGACTGACTAGATCAAAAATTCAGTAAATTACAAAACAAATCTGTATTTTAGAAAGAATTATTTAATTAACCTCCATGTGTATTAATTCATATTGACCTATAGAATGTTGTGATGTCATCTGAAGCTCAGCCATATGGGACCTTTAAATATGATTGGCCTATAGGACGTTGGTGACGTCATGTGACACCCACCAGGCTCCGTGTGGTTTACAGAAAAAGACACACTTCCGCATACACTAATCATAATGTATGCAGTGTGCTACGTCACCACGCCACACCTCAGTGATGTGCGCACTGTGAACATGACTGTGAAAGGAACACGCGGAAGTGCTCCGCTCCGCGACGCGCTCGAGACGCGTGTGAGCCGCGTGGCGTAGGTGGTGCGCTCTGACTCTGGTGAGACGCGTCGCGCAGGTAGACGCGCCGGTTTGACCAGAGCCCATTGTTGTCTGTGAGCGGTGGAGCCAAGCACGCACAGCCACAGAGACACGTAAGCACGTCCGGAGACAAGAGCGCCGTGAGAACAGTCTTCTATCAACAGCGTTCTCTTTGACAAATGCGCGGAACGAGCGAGAGAAAAGCCGAGCCAAGTGCGCGCTGAGCTTCATGGGCGGAGTGACCTGAACAGGTAAGGAACAGGCAGAAGTTTGTGCGCGGGGGTCTTTGTGTCATGTTTTCTCTACTTACAGCTCGTCGCCAGGGACTGTGCGTAACGCGCTGTGAGTTATTTATCAGGCTAAGGCTTGAATGCTATTAAACTTTGGCTCTTGTCTGTTATAATCTCCATTTGATGAGCCTTTACTAGCTGGTTTCGTGCTGTTTCATGGATCACTTCCGCGTATGAGAGGAGCAGTGTGCCGCTTTGTTGACAGTAGAGCTTCGCCCACAGCACGGCCCAGAGCCGGATGTGTGCGCGGTTATACCAGCTAACGACAGGTGCGCCCCGGTCACACTGCGCGCGTCCCTCATCTCACTCTGCCTCCCGGGCTCTCTTTACTCTTTGTGTCACCAGACTGTTCAGGATTCTGGAAAGGAGGCCACAAGTGAAAGTCTGTTATGATGAACTGTCATAATATAATGGTTTTAAAGGTGCACTGTGTAACTTTCTTCTCTCCAGAGAGATGAGATGTTAGAGATGTTTACTCCTTTGTCTGGAATGTCGAATGTGTCTCAATATGACATTAGATGATTAGCAAAAACAAAACTTGTACTTTACCTCTACCTCTCTAAGTATGTCAAACAGAGCACAGAGTTTGGTTGACCACAGGCCTGAGTGTTGTCATTTTCTTTCATGCTGTTTTATGTCATTTTAACTTTAACTTGTAACACAATACTGGTGATATTTTGTTTAGTTTTGTGGTGAATTCATTTAGAAATATTCCACATTTTGAGCAGACTGTAACAGTACTGTCTGTGACCTTATTGATCTGCTCGTCTCATATGTGTTCAAATCTGTGGGCCTGTGCCTCTCCCAAATCATTAAAGTAAACAGCACATTTAAAGGAACACTATGTAACCTGTGCTCTTACACTTTTATACAAGTTAATACAAACACAATTGAACCTGTGTTACGAGAGTCATAACCCGCAGATAGAGACACATCCAAGTGTTTCTCATTCTCAGTCTATAAGCAGGTCTCATGTGAAGTTCAGAACCTGCACTAGCACTGACTCATGACTGGTGCAGGTGCTGAGGTTTAAGTAGTGACCATTCAGATCAGAGGCAGTCTTTTGGATTTTGTAGATTTCACCTAGGGAGCACTGGTCCAGCTTTTTCAGTTATGATACTGATACCAATACTTTGGTTTTTGGCATGTGCTGATACCTGAGTTTAACCAATAACCAATGAAAAAGGAGAATTATTTACATCAAAACACAGATTTGTATGAATAAAACTATATCAATCGTTCTACAGCAGGGGTCTCCAACCTGTAGCTCGGGAGCTAGCAGTAGCTCTCCACCCTCTTCCAAGTAGCTCACCAAGGGATTATATATACATATTGTGCTGAATAACTCAAATTTGATTGATTAAATGCCTATTTTCTTTGTAAATGTATAATTTTGATGTGTAATTTTGTGTACTGATAACTGGATAATGGGTTGTTTTATAGACCTCTAACTGTACCTCATCTTTGGCGCACCATGGCTCTTATATTTACAAAATTTCTGGCGATCGCTAAAATGAGTAATTCTCTGGCATTTTCGTTTTACAAAAAGCAGCTCACAGGAGGAAAAAGGTTGGAGACCCGTGTTCTAGGGTAACATTAGCCAGTCTTATTACGTTTAATAAACCAGGATATTGGCTGAATCGATATTATGGAACCAATACTGATCTAGTGTTTTTTGTTTTGTTTTGTTTATTTTCAGTATCAGCACAGATTTTTGATACTCTAATTGCTACTGAACTGACTGCTTTCTGATCTTGAGAAATGTGTACCATAAATAACCTGGCACCATGTCAAAAGTTTCTGTAATTAAGAATACATCAGAATTATCTTATTAATATGATCAAATGTAGATTTTAGTAAGAACATATTCAAGTGAAGTTGCACATTGAGTGAGTGATGTTTCTGTTTGTGTGGCAGACATGGCAGCAGACAAGGTTGCCATCCTCACAGACGATGAGGAGGAGCAGAAGAGCCGCTACGCCCTGGAGCAGTCCTTTAACTCTGTGACTCTGCAGCAGCATGTGCCCCCCACCCCCGCGGACCTGCCCTCTGATGCCTCGCCCCCCACAGACCCCCCTCAGCCCGACCCACTGAGCTGCTGCCAGAGGCTCCTCCTGCGAGTCAACACCCACCTCCTCATCTCCAAGCTCTTCTACTTCTTCTTCTACGCTGCCTATGGCTCTCTACACCCCCTGCTGGCCGTGTATTACAAACAGCTGGGGATGACGCCCAGCCGCAGCGGCATGCTGGTGGGCATCCGCTACTTCATTGAGTTCTGCAGCGCCCCCTTCTGGGGAGTGGTGGCAGACCGCTTTAAGAAGGGCAAGGTGGTGCTTTTGTTTTCAGTCTTCTGCTGGCTGACTTTCAACTGTGGCATTGGCTTTGTTAAACCGGCTGAAATAAAATGTGTGACTCTTTTGCCCACGACAACCACAACTACAACGACTACAACTACTATTATTCCAACCACTATTATTCCAACCACTATTATTCCAACTACTATTATTCCAACTATTATTCCAACTACTATTCCTCCAACTACTAAAAGACCTCTACCAACAAGTACCTTTTCTTCACCACACACGACCTTGCTCACAAACCAGTCCAAACTCAGTGAAGTCATTGGTAACACCTCGTCTCCAGAGAGGGTCCGGCGCGCTCTGGAGCCTGTAATCCTCTCCAACACCAGTGACTCTGCCAAGGGCTCTGTTACCACCCTCACTCCCACCACGACCAAACCCATTCCCAACACGATCACCCCTTCTCCCGGCAAGACCACCCGCACTCCAACCACAACCACATCCACACCCACCACGACCACCCGCACTCCAACCACAACCGCCCCCGTAACCTCCTCATCTCCCAAAACCACACAGGCCATCACCAACTCGACCACAACCAAAGCCTTTGCCAACTCCACGGCTGACCCCTCCGAAGTCATCCTCGGAGAAGCTCCCAACAGCACCCTGCCCTCGCCCAACACCACCCTCAGCCCCGCCCAGCCCTCCCCCGACAACGAACACTACATCACCTACAACCAAGACCAGGTGGAGACCATCTTCCTGCTCATCCTGCTCATGGTGATCGTGGGCGAGTTCTTCAGCGCGCCCGCCATCACCATCGTGGACACGGTGACGCTGCAGTACCTGGGGAAGGCGCGCGATCGCTACGGGCTCCAGAGGATGTGGGGGTCCCTGGGGTGGGGGCTGGCCATGCTGCTGGTGGGCATCGGCATCGACCACACGAAGCTGACGGTGGCCATCGAGGGGCTGGGGTGCTCCGTGCCGGACTTGCACGACTACCGCATCGCCTTCATCGTGTTCGGGGTGCTGATGGGCATGGCGTTCATCGTGGCCACGCAGTTCCACTTCGAGAAGGGGGAGGGGTACCTGAGCGAGTCGCCCGAGGGGGTGGTGATGGAGCCGGAGCACACCCAGGGACAGGTGGGTCACTTAGATCATCGTCATATCTATCTACACCGAGGGACTGAGGGATTCTACACACAAAATATAAAATTATAATAGTAAACTTATATTATTTATTTAGGTTGAAAATGTTTTGCAGCTCATCTAACAGGTCTGGGTATCATTAAGAAGTTGCTGATACGATACATACCTCGATACATAGGCCATGATATGATACATATCTTGATACAGTGCACTTTCGGTTTGATACGATATATTTCAAATCAATCCGATAAGGTTTAATTAAAAAATAAAGGCTAAATCATGGCTGTGACAATCCATGTGTCATTTGTTCATTTGTTTTTCAATATAAAATGAAAAATAAGAAAACGAAAAAACAACTATTTTCTTCATCATTTGTCTCCAAAACCAAAATGGAAAAAAACAAATAATGATTACTTTTTTCAGTTTTCGATTCTGTGTTTAAATGAGTAATGGAAAAAAAATGATAACACCCGTTTCCATGACTTAAACTGCGATGCCAGACTTTTGCACCGCATACAGACTGAACCAGGACTAAAACAGGACTGAAACAGGACTGAACCAGGACTAAACCATTTTTAGTCCTGGTCCGGTCCCAGTCTCAGTCCTGGTCCTGATCCCAGTCTCAGACCCGGTCTCAGTCCCAGTCTCAGTCCCAGTCTCAGTCCTGGTCCTGTTCCCAGCCTCAGTCCTGATCTCAGTCCCAGTCTGGTTCAGGTCTGGTCCCGGACCTGGTTTAGTCCTGGTTCAGTCCGTATGCGGTGCAAAAGTCCAACATCGTAGTTAAAGTCACATAAACAGGAAAAGGTCGTTATCCATTTTTTCCATTTTTCATTTAAACACAAAATCGAAAACTGAAAAAACGAATCCATTATCCTTTTTTTTTTTTTTTTTTTTTTTGATTTTGGAGACAAATGATGAAGAAAATAGTTGTTTTTTTCATTTCCTTATTTTTGGTTTTATATTGAAAAACAAATGAATGAATGATACAAGGATTGTCACAGTCATGATTTAGCCTATATTTTATTAAACTGTATCGAAATGATTTGAAAATATATCGTATCGAACCGAAAGTGCACTGTATCCAGATATGTATCATATCGTGGCCTATGTATCGAGATATGTATCGTGTCGGCAACTTCTTAACAATACCCAGCCCTGTTAGATGAGCTGCAAAATGTTTTCGACCTAAATAAATGTTTGTCCAGTTGACAAATTGAATTTCTCCTTTGCCATAATAACTTTACTATTCTAATTTACTAATTTTACATTTTGTGCGTAAAATCTCTCAGTTGTCTGTTCTTTTTCATTTTGGTTTTGGAGACAAATAACAGTGTTTTTTTTTTCGTTTTCTTATTTTTGGTTTTATATTGAAAAATGAATGAACGAATGATACACAGATTTGTGATTGTAAAAGTGTTTGTTAAACCACTTCTTGTGCAAAATTCATATGAAACACAAACATTTTAATCATCAAAACAGTGAAAATGTCAAATGTTTCCTTCCTCTAAACAAGCAACAAAACTGTAGCTGTAACAAAATAATTTTGTAAAATATACAAAAAAATCCTCTTGGTGATATATCAATACAGCAGCTCACGATATCAATACTGTATCATCACATTAAGCAATACGATATATCAATATTTTGATATTTTTGCACAGCCCTATCATCAAAAAGCCACAACACAGTAAAAAGCCACAACACATTAAAAAGCCACAACGGAAGTGACCGCGGGACTCTATTTTCCGATGGACTGATCGAGCGGCAAGTGAAGAAGAAGAACTACAATGTGGCTTTTTAATGTGTTGTGGCTTTTTAATGTGTTGTGGCTTTTTAATGTGTGCTTTTAATGTGTTGCACCATTTGCATTTGTATTGTGGCGTTTGTATTTGTTGCGTTAAAAGATAAAGATTAAAGATTCCCGCGGTCATTTCCGTTGCGGCTTTTTTTGGTGTGTTGAGGCTTTTTTTTTGTTTGTTGTGGCTTTTTGTTTTGTTGCCACATTTGTATTTGTTGCGGCATTTGCGTTTGTTGTGACCCCTCTTGGCTAGCCACAGCCTGAGATGGGGAACAGTTAGACGCCTATAAAACATTAACTATTGTTAATTTATGAGTACAAAGTTAGGCATCAAAATTATACAAGTACATGGGTAATTGACTTATTCAGCACAATATGTGGGGGTAGTAGGGTGTCAGTTTCAGAGTAGTTTCAGTGTAGTTAGCTCCTCCCTTCTTTCAGATATAAGACAGTGTCCATCAACGCCTAACCTGAACTGAAGAAGCAGCTTGGATGAACTGAGAAACATGTTTGACCTAAATAAACGTCATGGAATCTTCCTGGTCGATTGTGGAATTCTAAACACGTCTTACAGTATGCAAAATGGATTCTTGTGAGAATGTTAGAATGTTGTTCTCTCCTCAAAAAAAGACCTGGAGTTGTTTTTTGTTTCATTCACACATGCTTGAGTAATACTTTTTAATAGTCTGTCTACATTTCCAAAGCTCAAAATGCTTTGTTCCACCCAGAGACTGTATAAAGAAGTGGATTAATCAAATGTGACATCACCCATAGCGTTCAGCTCCACTCAAATGAAGCTCGCGATGCTGGTGGTTATAGAGGCAAATTTAGAGCCAGACTCCATTTTAGGAATAGGGTTTTATTAACGGACAAAATGGCGAAATAAAACAGCAGGACCATGTTAATCCGTGTCATTCGTTCATTAGTTTTTCAATATAAAACCAAAAATAAGAAAATGAAAAAACTACATTTTTTTTTTTCATTCTCTGTCTCCAAAGCCAAAATGAAAAAAAAGTATGACAATTTGTTTTTTCAGTTTTCGATTTTGTGTTTAAATGAATAATGGAAAAAAAATGATTATGGCCGCTTCCCGTTTCCGTGACTTAAACTGCGACTAAACCAGGACTAAACCGTTTTCAGTCCTGGTCTGGTCCTGGTCTGACCGGGGACTGAGACCGGGGACTGAGACCGAGGACTGAGACCGGGGACTGAGACCGGGGACTGAGACCGGGGACTGAGACCGGGGACTGAGACCGGGGACTGAGACCGGGGACTGAGACCGGGGACTAAAAACAGTTTAGTCCTGGTTCAGTCTGTATGCAGTGCAAAAGTCCGGCATTTAGTTTAAGTCCCGGAAAGTCACGGAAACGGGAAACTGAGAGAAGAGACTGAGACCGTGACCAGGACCGGGGCCGAGACTGGGACCAGACCGGGACTGAAAACGGTTTAGTCCTGGTTTAGTCGCAGGTTAAGTCATGGAAACGGCCGTTATCCGTTTTTTCCTTTTTTTTTTTTTCATTTTCCATTTTTTAAACACAAACACGAAAACTGAAAAAACTAATCGTTACTCGTTTTTTTTATTTTAGTTTTGGAGACAGATAATGAAGAAAATGTTTTTGGTTTTTTTTTTTTTGTTTTCTTATTTTTGGTTTTACATTGAAAAGCGAATGAACCAGTGACACACGGATTCATGTTGAGCGGGTTAATTTTAAGACTAAAATGACGAGGCTCACAGCAGCACAGCAGTCATTTTCATGCCTCCTTTAACTTTTAGGTCAGTGGAGATTGGCAATTCCAAAGAAAGATCCAAATGATTCTAGTGAAGGTTTATGTGACATCAGAGATTTTTCAGTTTGAGAGAAGAACTCAGCCCAAATGTGCAGGGTTTGTGTGTTAAACTTGTGTGAATGAAACAAAACACAACTCCAGGTCTGTTTATGTTGAGGAAACAACATTGTAACATAAAGACATGTCCACTTTGATCCCCAGACCCCCCCACAGCCCAGCCCGTCCTCAGAGCAGAGCGCGCAGTCCGAGTTCCACTACAGCAGCCTCCTGAAGCTCCTGTGCAGCGTGCGCTACGGCTCCGTGCTCTTCGTGGCCTGGTTCATGGGCTTTGGCTACGGCTTCGTCTTCACCTTCCTGTTCTGGCACCTGGAGGACCTCGACGGGACCCCCACACTGTTCGGGGTTTGCTCCGTCCTCAGCCACGTGTCCGAGCTCACAGCCTACTTCACCAGCCACAAGCTCATCGAGATGGTGGGACACGTCAGGTAAGAGATTTACATCTAACCCATTCTTCAGTTACAGTGAAAACATGCTGGTGTTGAAAACTGGGAGTGAAATCTACAGTTTTGGTGTGTATGGTCCTGGAAAGTTGCTAGGGAGTGTCACCACAAATTATCAAATATACAGCTTTTGTTCTAAGAAATATAATCATTTATAATTACTATATTTTTCGGACTATAAGACTATGTTCAGACTGCAGCCTGAAGTGACCTAATCTGATTTTTTGGCCCCTGTGTGACCTGTATCTGATCTTTTAATGACAGTCTGAACCACACAGTTCCGATTTTTTCAAATGTGACCCAGGACACTTGGATATGTGCTCCTGAAACCGATACATATCTGATCTTTTGACATGTGACTTCAGTCTGAATGGCCAAGGCGCATTCATCCACCTACATGTTATCACACAGTGGACTTGACTATCCCAAAGAGGTTGGCTATTGTGCAGTAACAAGCACCTGTTGCAAGCCAATACAGCCCAACGCCGACGCGTTTGCTCAAGGAAATAAGCAGCCGAAGATGTATTTCCTCCCGCGAGACTGGCACAAGTAGGTGCTGACAAATGTACACAAACGTTCTTCTCGTCATACGAAAATTGTTAATGACCTCTGTGTCACTGAAGTGAAACACATCGCTATCCCACCACTCTTGGCTCCGTCTCCACATCCACATGTTCCTTTCAACGGACGTCGCTGCTGCTGTCCCACAGAACACCACGACCAAAAACCTCATCCTTCTCAATCTCCTCCTTAAAACAAGTAAGTTGTTCATGTTCTGGCTCCGGTACAAGAGAAACTTTAAAATCTCCAGGTGCTCAATGCTGCGTCCATGTTTGGACAACTTCTGTAAACACAGAGCACGCTCACTGTGGTTGACGTCGTGTCTCCAGTGCACATGCGGGACACTTTCGGGCCGTTTAATGTTCACACTGGAGTCACATACAAGTGCATTTAATTGGAAATGTGAACGACCTCGCAAAAACATCGGATTTCACACAAAAAATAATCTGAATTGAGCATTAAGCCCCTGCAGTCTGAACGTAGTCATTCTGGATTATAAGTCTCACCAGCTAAAAAATGCATAATGAAGAAGAAAAAAAACATATATAAGTCACACTTTGTGGGGGACAGAGAACAAGAGACTGTTAACGTCACATATGAACAGTTCTTCAGATAAACTATAACATAAACAACAGAACAGAACAAGTTTAACAAACTCTCCATCTCACTCCAAATCACTAAATCCATTCAGTTCTTCATCCTCTGTGTCACTTCTGAACAACTCAGCCTCGACCTCCGGAGGTAAACAGAGCGCCGCTTCCTCTTCTGTGTCGCTGTCGTCCGACTCAGCATCAGTTCCAGTTACAATTATTCAGGCCTTTCTGAATCCCGACAGGATGGTTTTGGTTGTGTTTATGTTTGTTTAAATGTTAAATTGTTCAGTGGTGCAGAAGTAATGGTGCGATCGACTGACATGATACAGACAGAACAGAGGCTCTTTCTGCAGGAGACATGTGCAGTAGAGTGAAGTGACAGTGGTACAGGAGCACACAAGCCTAGAACCTCCAGTGGCTGTCAGTGTGAACATTTTAACACATAAGTGGCACCAGAGTATAAGTCACAGAAACACCCAAACCATGAAAAAAATTGTGACTTTTAGTCCGAAAAACACCATATTTATTATCTATGATTATTTTATTTATTTGTTTGTAAAAGTGAGAGTACATAGTAATGAACATATGTATATGTAATATGTCAAGATAAAAGTCACAGGCCTGTGTTCCCAGAGGACAGGCTGATGTAACGTTCAAGTGGATTATGGATTAAATATAAAGGTAGATGAAGCCGAGGTCATGTGTGTGTGTGTGTGTGTGTGTGTGTGTGTGTGTGTGTGTTCCTGAGTGGTAGTTACACTGTGGCTGACAGGGACACGTTATATAGAGTCTGAATCCAGCTCAAATACCTCTTCTTTTGCTGCTATTTATACCACTGTAGTGTCCACATGAGAGGTGGTGTGACCGTGACTCAGAGGGGCAGTGCCACTCACAGCTGCTCTCACACACTGCCTTTGGATTCATAGGAAACATTTGTGTTTATTTGATTAAACTCTTTAGAACAGCTGAAAGTTTCAATTGAACACTGTATACATTGAAATAAATACAGCTTTAGTCATGATGAGCTCATGTTTCTGTCATGTTACTGTCAAGCCTGCTCCTCAGTGGCTGTGGAATTATTTAAAGAGCCAATTTTACACTATTTGTGATCCATGTGACACAACAGTGAGGAAACAACATTATATGTTTCCTCATGACAAACAGATCTGGAGTTGTGTTTTGTTTCATTCACATGTTTTACACAGAAACTCTGCTGAGTTCTTCTCTCAAACTGAAAATACTCCACCTTCCACATTGTGATGTCATCTGGTAATACCGGAAGTGCTCCATACACCTTCACTACATCATTTGGATCATTTCAAATTACTAGATTAACAATGTTTGCGTATTTTTACACCATTCCATGTTACATTTTACAGTGAAAAGTATACTGGAAAAAAAAAAAGATATCATTTAAAGGTGCATTTTTCTGATGAAATTTGCTACCTGCTTGTCTCCATGGAGATGTTATTCTTTGCCTGGAATGTTCCACAATATGGCTATAAACATATGTTATCTTGCATTTATTTAATTACAGGTTTTTGGTGCTACCTTGATTCAGATACATGGAAGAAAGTCAGGTTCATACTAGGGATGGGCATTTGATGAAATTTCATTAATCGATCCTCGGGAAAATTAACGATCGATTATTGATTAATCACTAATGTTTTTATATTAAAATGATCATCATTATTATTACTATTACTAATCTGCATAAATAAATTCAACTTTACGACATATAAACCGTGACCACTCTAGAGCCACATCAGCCCGTTTGACATTATAATGTGTTTAATTCAGTTTTGTGCAACTCTCACAGAAACAAAACTTAAAACCACATGCTCATTTGCATAAACTAAGCAAAGAAAACAGCTCTTGTGCGCTGGTGCGGTCTAACTTCTGTTGGACTAAAGGACACGACTCAGTGGAATATAAGTTAGAGTGACCATATTTGCGTTTGTCAAAACCAGGACACTGTACGGGGGGTGGGAGGTGGGGCCTCACCATCGACATTGAACGACTCTCATCTGGCAAAGCTTTTTCATGTTTATCGGTGTCCTGGTGCTTTAAGGTCCCTGGCACCGCCACTGGACACTGAAACATATGTGCTGCTTTGTACACTGTGCACATGGACTCACACTTGTTTCAACCAGGACAAGAAACGGGGAACTTCTTGTACAAGTCATCGTTAAATGCGCATTTGTGCTTCGGCATGTTGCAGACTGTCTGTGTCTGCTCACTCCTTCTGAGTTAGGGTTAGGGTTAGCGTTAGCTATGAGAGCTATGAGAGCTACGAGAGACGCTCAGTTTAATGGCCCCATGAAAGATCATGAAAACCTGAACATCTGCATCACTTTATAAAAAAAACAAAACTGGACGGCCAGGAACAAGACGTGGAAAATGGACATGTCCGGGGAAAAACGGACATTTGGTCACCCTGCGCTACTCACAGCAACCGACATTCGGTTTGTTGATTAAAAATGAACGTAATCAACAAAATACTTAATGATTGATTATCGATTAATCGACTAATCATGCCCATCCCTATTTCATGGCCTTTACCTTGAAACGTTACATGCAACATTTCTATAACATGCTTAAATAATAAATACAATCCCTGATCTTTAGGTTCATAATAGTGTCACATGCTTGTTACCATGGCGACAGAGGTTTGATTTAATGCCATACTGTGGAACATTCTTCTAAAATCCCACAAGCAGGTTGCACACCCTCCACTAGAAAGTTACATGATGCACGTTCAAGACTCCAATATTCTGCTGAACTGACTTTCTCTTTTAAACCTTAATGAAAAAAAGAGTGAAATGTGAAGTGACAAGCTCATACAAGACTCACATTTCCGAGCGTGTTGGTGCACATCTGAACTTCAGGGTGAGCAGTTTTTATATTTTATTGGAGGTTTTGTGGTTTTGTGGTTTATAGAGGAAATTATAGTACTTTGTAATTTGCTAATCGCGTCCATTCAAATAGTCATTTTAATTTGATTGTGGTTTATCTTGCTGAACTAGTTGTGTCCTGACAAAAATATCCCACAATTGTGTTTCTTTCTTTCAGGTATGTTTGAATAATACTGATATTCATGAGTGATCTGTCCACGCAGCTCATTCTGACATGCATGTGTGAGAAAGGCTTTCACTATGCAGACAATGTGAAATGAGATCACTTTCTTTTCTATTCCCACGTGGTTTTATATCTGTGTAATCCCTCAGTCCTCCAGTCGAGTTTCAAATGAGCATAAACTAGTCTATGTGCTCTTATACTTGTTCTGATACAGCTCAAGGTTTATTTCTGTCCTGTGAATTTGACTTCTTTAGTATTGTTACTTGCGCAAATGAGTATTAAGTTTCAGTATTAGTTTTAGCATCAATTAGTGTCTGAGTTTTTATACTTTTGACAACCCTAGTCAGCGGACTCGATCCTGATTCTGGTCTGGTTCCTGTTTTGATCAGTTCATTAAATATACTAAGTTACACATTCCAAGACCAGACTGTGGTAAAAGTAAAGATTGTCAGCAAGTTCAATCAAATACTACACATTGAAATCAGTACAGAAATCTGATCCCGCACACATCCTGGATCTTGTTCTTTGCTCTTAGTTCATTTTATAATGTTTTATAGAAGTATTGGATCGGGACTCAAAATCAAATGACTCGGTCTTGGACTCGGGGGCAAAAAAATGTGATTGGGACATCCCTAGTATCTATGGTGTACAACAGTAGATATGAAAACCATTCCAGAGGCATTATATGACTACAACAGTAAGACTTGTGAACACAGTGAAGGACATGTTTGCTGATTTCTTTGCCTGAAGTATTAGCAATTACCAAAATTAGTATTTAAATCTCATCATCTCCTTCACTCTCCTCATCCTCTCATCCTCTCGTCGTCCCCTTCAATCTCCTCATCCTCTCATCGTAATTGTCACTCTCCTCATCCTCACATCGTCCCCATCAGCCTCCTCATTTTTTCATCCTCTCATCGTTTCCTTCATTCCCCTCATCCTCTCATCATGCCCTTCTCTCTCCTCATCCTTACATCTTGTCATCATCCCCTTCACTCTCCCTTATTCACTCATCGTCCCCTTCACTCTATTCATTCTCTCATTCTCACATCGTCCCCATCAGTCTCATTCTCTCATCCTCTCATCGTCCCCTTCACTCTCCTCATCCTCTCACTGTCCCTTTCACTCTCCTCATCCTCTCATCATCCCTTCACTCTTCTCACCTTCTCATTCTCACATCGTCTCCATCACTCTCCTCATCCTCTCATCCTTTCATCGTCCTCTTCACTCTCCTCATGTCTTCACTCTCCTTATCCTCTCATCGTCCCCTTTACTCTCCTCATCCTCTCATCATATCTTCAGTCTCCTCATCCTCTCCTCATCCCCTTTACTCTTCTCATCCTCTCATCCTTTCATCGTCCTCTTCACTCTCCTCATCCTCCCATCATCCCCTTCACTTTCCTCATCCTCTCTTTCTCACATCATCCCCATCAGTCGTCCTCATTTTTTCATCCTCTCATTGTTCGTTCATTCCCCTCATCCTCTCATCGTCCACTTCACTCTCCTCATCCTCTCATCCTCTCCTCGTTCCCTTCACTCTCCTCATACTCTCATCATAACTGTCAGTCTCCTCATCCTCTCATCGTCCACTTCGCTCTCCTCATTCTCTCATCGTCCCCATCAGTCTCTTCATCCTCTCCTCGTCCCCATCAGTCTCTTCATCCTCTCATCGTCCTAATCAGTCTCATCATCCTCTCATCGTCCCCTTCTCTCTCCTCATCCTCTCATCATGTCTACACTCTCCTCATCCTCTCATCCTCTCACTGTCCCTTTCACTCTCCTTATCCTCTCACGTCCCCTTCACTCTCCTCATCCTCTCATCCTCACATCGTCCCCATCAGCCTCCTCATTTTTTCATCCTCTCATCGTTCCTTCATTCCCCTCATCCTCTCATCATGCCCTTCTCTCTCCTCATCGTCTCATCGCCCCCTTCTCTCTCCTCATCCTTACATCTTGTCATCATCCCCTTCACTCTCCCTTATTCACTCATCGTCCCCTTCACTCTCTTCATTCTCTCATTCTCACATCGTCCCCAACAGTCTCATTCTCTCATCCTCTCATCGTCCCCTTCACTCTCCTCATCCTCTCACTGTCCCTTTCACTCTCCTCATCCTCTCATCATCCCTTCACTCTTCTCACCTTCTCATTCTCACATCGTCTCCATCACTCTCCTCATCCTCTCATCCTTTCATCGTCCTCTTCACTCTCCTCATGTCTTCACTCTCCTTATCCTCTCATCGTCCCCTTTACTCTCCTCATCCTTTCATCGTCCTCTTCACTCTCCTCATCCTCTCCTCATCCCCTTTACTCTTCTCATCCTCTCATCCTTTCATCGTCCTCTTCACTCTCCTCATCCTCCCATCATCCCCTTCACTTTCCTCATCCTCTCTTTCTCACATCATCCCCATCAGTCTCCTCATTTTTTCATCCTCTCATTGTTCGTTCATTCCCCTCATCCTCTCATCGTCCACTTCACTCTCCTCATCCTCTCCTCGTTTCCTTCAGTCTCCTCATACTCTCATCATAACTGTCAGTCTCCTCATCCTCTCATCGTCCACTTCACTCTCCTCATCCTCTCCTCGTCCCCATCAGTCTCTTCATCCTCTCATCGTCCTAATCAGTCTCATCATCCTCTCATCGTCCCCTTCTCTCTCCTCATCCTCTCATCATGTCTACACTCTCCTCATCCTCTCATCCTCTCACTGTCCCTTTCACTCTCCTTATCCTCTCACGTCCCCTTCACTCTCCTCATCCTCTCATCTTCCTCTTCTCTCTCCTCATCCTCTCATCGTCCTTTTCACTCTCCTCATCCTCTCTCTCCAAATCGAACAATAAAACCACTGACACTTTCTCTTTGTGTCTGAGTCTCTTCCTGTGACGTGACACAGATATTGGAGCGTGGCTGTACAGTGATATGCTGTGTTCTCTCTGCGTCTGCCTGGTTCCCTCCGGTTGGGGTCAGAGTGAGAGGGAAGAGCGACGTGAAGCCCCCCTCCGCTCTGGGCTTGTGTGCGGGGCTGTTACGTGAGAGGGACGTGTCACATTACAGCTAATGCGCTCCACAGCTAATGCTTTCAGTCAACACAGAGCTAATCGTCTGGAGGCCGGTCCCCGCGGCGGAGGAATCATTTACACTCACTGGAGTTGATCCTGTTTTAAGCCCAGTTTAGTCCTGGTTTAGTACCGTCTAACTCATTTTGAAGCACGATATAAAACTGGTACAATAACCCGAAAGTTGGATCAGTCCTAATTAGGAATGTAACTATAATCGAAATATTGTCAAATCGTATCGTCAAAAGTCTCACAATAATATCGTGGACCATCACAATATGTCGAATTACAAGTTTCTTTGCTTAAATGAAGAGTTATGGTGCAACAAAAGCTAAAAAACATAGAGACAACTACATAGACCATGATCCTTTGCTCCGTTTCAGTACAGACTACAAGAAGAAATAACTGTTATAAGCTGTTTTAGTCTTTGGATTAAGTATTTTTAGAGAAAAAAGTAGCGTATTCAAAGTTTTTTTGCCTCCACAAAATATTGCAATAAATATCGTATCGTGAGATGTACATCGTGAAAATATCGTACTGAGAGATTTGGATATTGTTACATCCCTATTCTTGTCAAATATGTTTTCATGTTCTTTAAAGGGCCTATATTAATCGAAATGGACTCATATTGGATAAAAGAGCAATATTTATTTTACAATTTTTTACATGACATTTTGACTGTTGTGTTTTGAACAAACAGGTTTAGTGTTTGTTCATTTCAGACAGTCAATATTAACCTGTGTAAATAACACACCCTCACACTCTCACACCAGCTCAGGCACTGACGCACTACAACACTATAGTTTAGTTCTGAATTATTCTATTATGTGTCAAGTGAGGAAAGAAAAAACACCAGAATGTGAATGGTGTCAGTGTAAAACCCACATTGAGTGTAAAAGTTTACCAATCACAATGAAGTATTTTCTGGGTAATTGACTGTTCTGTATTACTGTTGCCCTTTTAATTCATCTGCTTGTAATAAATAAAATAAAACTAAGGCAAAGGCAAAGGCTGCTTTGAGCTGAAATTATGTTAGGCCACTTAGATTACACTTAGGCAACTTAGGTTACGAAGTACAGCACCTCTTTAAAGTCTTATTGTCCACGCGCACGACTAACCATAGACATTCACCCATTACTTATTTAATCCAGAGCCCTGCACACAGCAGTCTGAATCCTGTCCTACGTCCAGAAAGAATTGTCTTTTAATTCCAAATTAGTGAGCTCCAGAAAAAGTATATCCAAAGGGCCACAGCATTGGCCTCTCACCAGGTAGAGCTGGTGCAATTCAGGTATTAGTCCGTGTTACGTCCCTGGATCCCAAACAAATGCCAGGAGCACAGCAGTGGGTCGAGCGGCCTGCACGCGCCCACATGTGCACCCATATGTACCATTAGGCTGTCACGCCTCTTACTAAAGAATGTCCATGTTTTGTTAAGGTTACTCATGTACAGTTTCTCTGCTCAAGTTTAAAATGTGCACTGTGAATTCTAGATTTTTAAATTTAATATTAGAGTTCCATCATTGTCCAACTACAACAGATAGTTGGAAAATATGGAGTATTATATTTTAGAAGTTATATTGGAAGGTTGGAGTATTATACTATGGAAGTTACTTTGGAAGGTTGGAGTATTATACTATGGAAGTTACTTTGGAGGTTGGAGTATTATACTTTGAAGATTATTTTAGAAGGCTGGAGTATTATACATTGAAAGTTACTGTGGAATGCTGGAGTAGTACTTCTGAAGTTGTAAACGCACTGAAACATTTAGTCCAGTCATAAACATGCAAATTAAACAGGTTTTGGCTTTAGTTGACACTGTGGTTGCTAGGTGACACATTTGATAAGGCCTTATCAAAGCTTATTGGTCACTTGTCGGTCTCCAGCACGAAGTAAATGATAAACTTCCCCTAACTACAAAAGAAATTATTGGAAAGGATGACTCAGACTTGTTCAAATGAAACACAACTCATATATTTGTGATGAGTTAACACGACATTGCGATAAAAGCCCTAATATGGTACCATGTGGGCCTTATTATGTATCATTTGACTTTATAATATTTTATAATGCTGCTGTTGTTAATGGTCCATGATTCTGTGTCCCCAGGGTGCTGTACATCGGTCTGGCCTGTAACACCGCACGCTACCTCTACATCTCCTACATCAACAACGCCTGGACCGTACTGCCCATGGAGGTCCTTCAAGGTAACACACGCTTCTATCAGCCGCAAAACCACACACAAACACACACACAAACACACACACACAAACACACACAGCACAATGTGCAATGACTTGAATTCACGTTAGATTCAAGTACAGGGTCATATCGTCTGCGTCTTCACACACACAAACGCAAAGATACAATGTTTGTGTAACCCAGTTTGGATTTGGAGTTGGATTTGTTTGGTCTTTTTCAAGTTTTTGAGCCAATATGTAGGGCGGATTTAGGTAATTATTCCCTCAAAAATGTGCCCCGTTTTTGTCTTAGAATTTCTTGTACATGTCTTTATTCAACAGGACAATGTACAGAAGTTACATAATGTCTGAGGGCAAAGATGCTTGTACATTCAGGTTGTACCATAAATAAGTTGGCAGAAGCAGTCAACACATCGTAAATACAGGAACTAACTCTAAACAGGCTTCTATAAAGAACTACGAGATACATTTCAGTTATAAATGCACAATAGAATACAGTAGTCAGTGTTTCTGAGTTTGAGTTTTGTTTCATTTAGAGACAGATCAATAATGATAACACTTTATGCCACTGACACACAACAAAATAATTCCAGTAAACTAGTTTTTAAATGTACCGTATCATTAAAGGCATCAGCTACGATAAATAAATAAATACCAGAATGACGCTAAGTGATTTATTCTACTCTGTACAAGTAAATTGTTACCTTATTACCGTATTTTTCAGACTATTAGGCGCAATACTGTATCGCGGTTCACCTTTCGCGGTCTCGCAGTTTCGCTGATTTTTGGGGGGGGGCAATTTTGCATGCCTTTTTTTTACAGTGTATGAACGTGCATTGCATTCCTCTCACTGCGTCCTGATTGGCTAAAGGACTTCTGTATCCTGTACAGTACAGAATGTGTTCAGCCAAATTTACATAAATGTTGGATCTCTACCAGTGTGATTCTGAAGTGCTGTATGTTTGCAAGTTTTCTCCCCGACAAAACCCACAATGTCGACGAAACATTCTGCACCGATAAAAGCTCCTGCGAGCGCACGCAAAAGGCAGAGGAAGATGTAGCGTATTTTCCGGGCTATTAGATGCACTCTTAAGCCTCCAACCCCTTCAAAAAATGACTGCGCGCCCCACAATCCAGAGCACCCTATACACGAATCCACTCAGGTGTCACAGCACGACTTCAGTAAACTACAAAGCCGCACCACCCACAGCGCACGCAAACTCACACGGAGCAGACAGCGACCGCACAGAGGAAAACACACCCACAGACACACTCATCACTCCACGACGACAAGGAACGGAACAGAGGAACAAACCGAAAAAGCGAGTGCAATGTGCCACTTCTAGACACGACTGAAGAACTGAGTCACTGCGAACACGCCGACAATCCGTTGGTCCCAGACAGCACCCTCCCTACACGCCACAACTGAACAAAGCCCAGAGTCACCGTGAACGAACAAACAAACAAAACCACTCACCCATCACACTGTTGGGTTTCCTTTAAAGTCCGGTGTGGTTTATTTGTGAAAAAAGTTCAAAAATAGACCATTTAATGACAGTGTGTCTTATAATCCAGAGCGTAAATACATGTATTTATTTAACAGGAAAATGTACAGAAGTTACAGTTACAGAAGTCTAAGGGCAAAGGTGACCTGAATGTATGTTCAGGTTGTACCATAAATAAGTTGGCAGAAACACATCGTAAATACAGGAACTAACTCTAAATAGGCTTCTATAAAGAACTATGAGATACATTTCAATTATAAATGCACAGTATAATACATACAGTAGTCAGTGTTTCTCAGTTTGACTGTTTGTTTCATTTAGATACAGATCAATATGTCATCATGAAAACAGTTTATGACAAGGCAAAATAATTCCAGTAAAACAGTATTTAAATATACCATATCATTAAAGGCATCAGCTACAATAAATAAATAAATAATAGACAGAAGCTAAGTGATTTATTCTACAGGTCAAATGTTACTTTATTACATAAAAAAATGTAAAAAAAAATCTTTCCAGTATTGTAAAGAAATTAAACACAAATAAATACTGCGCTCCTTTGGTTCTATCATGATTTAGAACGACCTTATTCATGGTTTAGTCCATTTTTTTTTACCTGTTTTAATCTTGTTCAATATCTGTGTTAGTCAAATACTACACATAGTGTCTTAGGTGATACTTGAAAAGTGAAAAGTTTAAGAACCGCAGGCATAGTCCACTTCCTACAGTCAGTACTACAGATCTGTAAATGTAATTTTTGATCGATTTTTGATTTGATTTTGGTTTATCTGCTCAGTGGGATCTGGTTCTGTCATTTAGTTGATAGGAGAAAGCAGACGCAGACTGGCCCAGGGCTGTTTTAGATCTGGGAATATTATTACACTGCCCTCTGGTGGTGGATCCTCTCTTTAAAGTTAGAAACCATTTGGACTTGGAGAAAGACATTTGTTGGCATCTACTGTATATTAACAGTATATTCCAGTGTAGTTTGGTTTGCTTTTGATCGTATGATATGACATAAGATCATATCATAGTGCTTAATTAACCTTGCAGCTTATAGAAAAAGTTCCTTATGCTTTAAACCCATATTACCCAAAATAAGACTTTTTTTTTTACCTCATAACCGTGTTACAATGTTCTGCCTCTTTCCAAAACACACCTGGAGTTTACACGTCATTCATTCTTTCATTCAAGACTTTTAAAAACTCCATCCATGTTTTACAGGATCATTGCACACGCTTTGAACACTTTTATATCCTCCTGAGACCCAGCCCATTCGTGTGTGTATTTTATAGTGGACACTTAGTTAACCAGTCCATCTTTTTGAGATAGACTCTTAATGTGGGGACAAGGTTCCTCTGCCTAAATAGAGCTGGAGGATTATAGCCATTATGTCCAGGATACAAAATGAACTCATTAGGAGTTATTCTCAAGATGTGTGAAGAATCCCTCAATCATCCAGGTAGAAAATTCAGTTTGTCGACTGGACAAAAGTTAGTTTGGTTGAAGAAGTTTCGCAGCTCATCCAAGCTGCTTCTTCTGTTCTGGTCAGATGTTGGTGGACACTTCCTTATATCTGCAGGAAGAATCTAACTAACTACTCTGAAACTAACACACCTACTTGTTTACAGTTTCTGTTTGTTAGTTCGGCCTATTGACCTGTGCAGGGTGTGGGCTCTAATTAGAATTAGGTCTAATTAATATAACATGTTATGCTTTGTTATGTTTGGATTTGTTTTTATTATGATTTTAATGTATTACTTATTCTGTAAAGCACTTTGAATGACTTTGTGTAAGAATTGTGCTTTACAAATAAACTTGCCTTGCCTTGCCGCCGTGCTCCAAATAGGAAGTGAGCATGGACGCACTTCGGAGTCCATCTACCATCCAACGCATCGGCCCTCTTTGAAAATGCTTTCAGTAGTTCTCTGTAAAAGCCCTTTGCCTCAGCCTCACCAAACCCTCCCTTTGAAATTCCTGGGTTTGTGATGTCATAGACAGAACACAGTTTCTATAAAGTTTACAAGTCTATAAATCACCGGCAGACTCGCTTCAAACATCTCTGCTGTGAAATCACATCATTGCTGCATTGACATGTCCAGACATGTTCCTCTTTCTGCAGCGTAATTGTTTTCACTTTGGTAATTCTCGATGGCAAACTGCACCAGATTATACTGAGGCTGTGAAGTGATGTCTGCTTTTTTAAATCAGGCATTATTTTAAGTTTTAAATTATGAAATGCCAAAGCAAAGGTGCTCACGCGCATGTGTACAGGCCTAAAACAATACATAGAATGCCTAATATTTGTTTTTTAAAGTTTCACATATCGTCTTAATACAACAGAATGTTTGGAAAATCATCCTGAGAACCAAAACACAAATCAACATTGTAATAACATGATGCCAGTGTGTAAAGTGTCTCATGTGTGTCTGGTCTGTGTGTCGCAGGAGTGACACATGCCTCCGTGTGGGCAGCCTGCATCTCCTTCCTGAGCGCCGCCGTGCCCCCCGCCCTCCGCACCTCCGGCCCAGGGCATCCTCCAGGGCCTGCACCTGGGGCTGGGCCGGGGCTGTGGGGCCATGATCGGAGGAGTCTTCGTCACCTACTTTGGTAATGGACATTTCAGTTCAGAACTAAGCTGTCAAAAGTATATTAGTATCGAAACTAAAAAGCTACATTCACAGGATACAATTTCAGAATAAATATAAGCTAAAGAATGTACCATTATTCATGTCCATTGCTGTATCGTAAGTATTGAGTTTTGAGTCAATTTTGTAGTATTGAAATCCAGTTCATAAACCAGCATTAGAATTCTTTTTAGTAAAAGTTGTGTTTGATTTGAGCATGTCTCATATCACAGATAAATTGTGTGTATTCTTTAAAGGTGTTCTTACACAGGTTAGCATCTGCTTGTCTCCATGGAGATGTTAGAGCCTAAAGTCACCCCACGAAAGGCAAAACTGATCATTCTAATGCTATAATATGCAACATTCTAGGTAAAGCAGCCACATCTTCATGGAAATAAAGCAGCTGTAAAATCTCCATCAGAAAAGTTCCATAGTACATCTTTTAAGCAAATTTGAATAACATCAAATATTTAGTTGGAAAAAGTAAAAATGTCATTTTTGGATTGTGGTAAATAAAGAGGCACATTGTTTAGTTTTGTTTTTGTTTTTGTCCAGGTGCTGCAGGGGCATTCCGAGGCATCGGCATGGCCTCCCTCGTCATCCTGCTCATCTTCGCCTTCATCCAGTACATGACCCGAGACTCCGAGGAGAAAGGTCAGACTCAAAACTGCTACACTGCTAAACTAATCCAAGAATCATGCATTTTAGAACAGGTTTATAGAGGTCTAAATGACAGAGTTAACAGTTTATACACAGAGAAATACCCCGTGGAGACAGGGGGAGGGCATCTGACTCAGAGACGTTTTAGAACATGTTTGTGGAGGTTTGTCTAAATTACAGGGAGCGTCACCGCAAAGTGATTGCTCTAAATCATTGTTTTAACAAGAGAAATTTACTGAAACAAAAAACAAAAAAATCACTCAAAAACCTCAGGTGCACTGTGCAGCATTTCTGATGCAGGGCCTGCCACCTCCTGCCACGTTTCCATGGAGATGTTATTGCTTTGTCTGGAATGTTCCACAGACATTAAACTCATCGTCTTATAATCATCGGAATAAATGCAAGATGGATACGTTTAATGCCACACTGTAAACAGGTAAAGCAATAACGTCTCCATGGGGATAAGTGGGGTTGCCTCCTACAAGAAAAGTTACATAGTTACAGCTTTAAAACCACAATATGTCACTTTTTTGCCACAAAGCAGACTGCTTTGTCTGAAGCTCTGTTACTCAAGTTAGACTTTAATCTGAGCTTTGTTTTAACACAATCTGACCAGGAAAGAAGTGACTTGTTTGGAGCGTGAACAGGTGAGATGATGTGAGCTGTTCAACAAGTCTCTCTCTGATCATCAGAGTCCTGGACGAGCATTAACTATGAGCTAGTTACTCCTGAACACATCACAGGCTCCTGAACATTTGTTGTCAGTAAATTTTAAAGTTTTAATCTAAACTTTTTGTTATTATTGCTAATGTATGCATTGTGTTACCATGGTAACTGCTGAACATTCCACCGTAGACATACATACAGAACACCCCCAGTGTGACATCACTGTAAAGTATCAGTACTGTATATAAACATGTTTTTGTGGTACTCCTTCAGAAAGCCAAATACTGGCAGAGAACATCCCGGTGCCCTCCAGCCCGGTGCCCATCGCCACCATCGACCTGGTGCAGAGCGGCAGTTCAGCGGGCAGCCCCAGCCCGGTGCTTCCCATGAAGAAGACCAAGTACCAGGAGGACCAAGAGGACCCCTGGAGGCCCGCCTGGGTGCTCGGGGGCTCTCCCTGGGTCACCATCGCCTTCGCTGTGGTGCAGATCAAAGAGATGATACGCCAGAGCAGGAGGGCGGAGCCTTCAGAGAGCCAGCCCCTACAGGTGAGTGTGAGCCCCCGCTCTGTCCACTCTGTCCACACTGTCCACTCTGTCCACACTGTCCACTCTGTCCACACTGTCCACACTGTCCAACTGTCCACACTGTCCACACTGTCCACACTGTCCACACTGTCCACACTGTCTGTCACACTGTCCACACTGTCCACACTGTCCACTCTGTCCACTGTCCACTCTGTCCCACTCTCCACACTCTCCACACTCTGTCCACACTCTCCACACTCTCCACACTGTCCACTCTGTCCACTCTGTCCACTCTGTCCACTCTGTCCACACTGTCCACTCTGCCCCGGGTGTCACCACTGACCCTGTGGACATGGGCTGATCTGTACAAAAGTGGAACTAAACCCTAAACCCACTTCTCTAAATGATCGCTAACTACCAGAAAATCTACCAATTATACCAGATTACTAGAAAAAATAATTCTTTAAAGCTACATTATGTAAACGTTTAGCAAAAAAATACTAAAATAAATGCATGTTGTAGTTTCATTTTCATTTTGGTTTTGTTTACTGCACTGAAAACAGAAAAACATGTGAGCGGGTTCGCTTCTCCACAAACGTTTCTTGGCTTGGCCTCTTCCTGCTTGTTTCCATGGAAATAAAACATGTCTATATCAATGAAGAATGTTCCAGAGTATGGTTATTTCCATGGTATCAAGCAGGTGACGTGCCACCTCCAGAAAGTTCCATACTGTACATTTAAATATAGTTTTTTGCTGCTCCATTCATTAATTTATAGATTAATAGTATGAAGTGTGTGGGGATGTTTTCTTTCAGTTAATGTGAGATACTCCAAGAAAATAGTATTTTTCATGCACTTTATATAAAACACTGGACTGATATAGCTACAGTAAACCTGCTAACTCCCGTCACTAACCCCTCTGTCTCTGTTATACGTTCACTGTTGTGACTAAAACGTCAGTCACTATGTAGTTAACTCTGGTTTCTCTGATCTTGACTTTGTGCTGTTTCTCTGTTAATCAAATGGTGAAGTGCCCTAACCACTAAGTGCTGCTCGGCACTCTCCAGAGGTGAGACGGTCAATCGCTTCTGTGTGCTGTTTCCTGTTTCCTGTTTGAACTGCTATGAACAAGATCTACTCGACCTGTAAAATCTACTGTGAAGGGCCTGTACGACTCTATTTTCTGATCTGCTAGTGTGTCAGAATGTTGTTTCCTCATCACAAACGGTCTGTGTACTATTTGTTCTTCTGAATTTCAGTTAAGAATGAAAAACAATAAAATAGGAAAACTGTTTGTTATTTTATTATTCTGTTTTAGTGTCAAACAAAAAAACAGATTTTGACCTCTACTTACAATATTACATTTTTTAAAATTGGTCGGATGGCGGTTCTGGAAAAGTCCAGAACAGTACAGATTGCCAGTCCGCTCCTATGACAAACAGGTAGCAGAGATAAACTCTCCTTTGTTCTGTTGACACTGAATTCACACGCGGCACACTAAGCAGCAGAACTTCCGGGGCAAATAAACCAGAGAGAATAAAATATCTAAATTGAAATAGGCACCAAGACTGTTTTTTGATTGGTGTTATTTGAAATAAACTTTAAATTAAATATTGGAAATAGACATTGAAATCTTTTGTCTTTTGTTTGACACTAAAACAGAAAAAGAAATAACATTATAACATTTTCCCATTTTATTGTTTTTCCTTAATTGAAATTAAAAAGAACAAATAGTACACAGTCCACAAACATACCTGGAGTTGTGTTTGTTTCATTCACACGTTTAACACAGTCTTTAGGTTCTTCTCTCAAACTGAAAACACTCTGTACTGTATTTTTAAACTCCGTACACCTTCACTAGAATCTTTTGGATCATTTCAGCTCTGGAAATACCAATCTCGACTAAACAAAAAAGGGAAAAGGGAGCTGTTAATTTGAAAACGAACACTTCATGACATCACAACAGAGCATTTGGAACTTTGGAGAGTAGACAAACTGTAAATAAAGTCACTCAAATATGTGTGAATGAAACAAAACACAACATCTAAACTACATGGTTAAATGACAGAATAATAAGAATATACAGCTCTAAACTTGTACTTTTGAGCATGTAAACGGACCTTTTGCTGTGTCATCAAAATGCAACGTTTTGAGCATCCGAGCAGATTTTCAAAGCCGAGTAGATGTTGTACCTGCCTCGTGCTTCCTGTTTCCTGTGTGCTGCTTTGTGTGTGTTTGGCGCGTGGGCTGTGAGTTGTGCACGCTTTTGCTTTTTACAATCTCAATGCATGTCCACACTTAAGGCTACGCTGTAAATGCTTGATAAGGATCCACCACCATCCGCTTGTCTCCATGGAGATGTTACAGCTTGGCCAAGAATGTTCCACATCACGCGGTCCGTTTTGCGTGGATTCTATTACTGGTCTATGCTCAGAAATATCTTTGAAATACCTTTTAATGTCATATTATAGTGTCCAAAGTGATAATATCTTAATGGAGACAGGCTGGTGGTCGACATTCTGATGTTATTTTAAATCTGATGGTGCTGATCTGGGACATGAGGGTTTATACAGTTGAAAGTGAAACTGCCTCGGTTTACGCGCTAGCCTCAATATGGATCGTTCTGACCTTATTGTGATCTGCCTGACGTTCCTTCATCGCTGTAATGTAGGCAACCTGGTTGTGTGATTGGTAAGGGTGGTTTGTGGCTTTAAGATGAAGGCAGACAGCCGACTGTGAACCAGAATTAGACTGTCTTCCGTGCAGATGTAGTCTTCTGTGCACTGTTTGTTTGGTTTCCCTAGTGTTTCTGTCAGAATACAGAAACACAATACACTACATTATTATGTTTTGGTGTTGTCATCTTATCCTTGGGAAGAATTAGTTTCTGGACACATGAGTTCACTGGTTTAAAATGCACAAGAATGTAATGTTGTCTAAAAATCTTTTATAGTTTGTAGACAGACTCAGCACATACGGAATAGACCAGGGGTGGGCAAACGTTTTGACTCGTGGGGCACAAAAGATTCTAAAATGTGACGGAAGGGCCGGACCAAGAGCAGATGGATGGATGGATTTTTTGGTAATCCACCTCATAAGAGAAAAAATTACATAAGATATGTAGAAAAGAGATCCCATGTTGTTGAAATATTCCATAATTGAAAATCATTATAAAGCATTACACCAAAATATCTGTCTTTCAAGTCCCACAGAATTTACTATTTATAGAAATTACTTTTACAACATTATTATTATTATTATTATTATTATTATTATTATTATTATTAGTAGTAGTAGTAGTAGTGGTAGTAGTGGTAGTGGTGGTAGTAGTAGTGGTAGTGGTAGTGGTAGTAGTAGTAATACTCAAGTTCGGTGGGGCAGATTAAAAAGATTTGGCCCTCGGGCCGTAGTTCGCCCACCCCTGGGATAGACACTCTATTCGTTTTGGGTTCTGTTTCTCTTTTGTCCTGCTTTTTGGTTCTTGTCACTCTGTTGTGAGCCCATGTAGGGGATCTAGAACATTGTTTCCCAAAGACTGGGTCACGACCCTCAGGTGGGTCACAAGAGTTTTTTTTATTTGGGTCGCCTTGTCACAACCTGCATGTAGATCTGTGATATACACTTCTGACACATGACAGAAATAGTGACTATTTTGTTCCAGTTTTGCTGGTTCAGTTGAATGTTGAAAAGAAAAAGAAATGTTCTACATTTAATGTCCAAACAGGCGATTTATAGATCCTTTTATTGCTGCTTCAGTGACTGTTTTTCATTGTTTCAAACTTGAGTAATAATAATTGTTCAGAGGCATTGAACAGGTTCTCAGTCAACAATAAAATATCCTCATTAATGTTCAAATCCATCTTTATTTTGTGATTTACAAATAATGTCTATGGCCTTGGGTGGCAAAGGATTTCTTTTAAAATATAGGTCCCCAGAAAAAAAGTTTGGGCAACACTGATCTAGAGGCTGTTTGTCTTTGTTCTTTCCCTCTGAGCTCAGGTTCACCTCTTGTGTTGCAGAGTCTCAGTAACTCCAATGGGTTGGTTTGAAAGAAGCTGTTTCTGTGGAAAAAAGAGAATCCCTCTTTGAACAGAAATGTTGTTGTTAATGTTAATGTTGTTAATGTTGGTGCATCCACCAGTTGCATCCTCACATTTTGGTCAAGTGAGAAATGAAGCCAATCAGAGTCCGGCAGATCACAGTAGGAACCATAATGAGGCAGCATGTAAACAAAGACAGTTTGACTACATGTCCTCCCTTCAGGGCAGGACAGTGCAAACCCTGGTCCTCAGATGACTCCCTCTGAAAACTTTTCTACTCTGATCCACTTCTGGATGAAGGACTTTCACATTACACTGACTCATAGCAAACGAAAAAAATCTATGGACAAAAGTTTCACTGCTTCAGGTCAGACGCTGGTGGACATGGGCTTATATCTGTCTGCAGGGAGGAGCTAACTACACTGCAACTACTCTGAAACTAACACACTATTTGTTTACAGTTAATGTTTGCCTATTGAACTACCATATTTTCCAGACTATAAGTCACTCTGGAGTATAAGTCGCACCAGCCAAAAATGCAAAATGAAGAAGAGAAAAACATATATAAGTCGCGCTGGATGATAAGTCGCACTTTTTGGAAAGTTTACTTTATAAAATCAGAGATGAGGAACAGACATTTCATCTTGAAGGGCAAGTTCTAGTAATAACAATAGAACAGAGAACAGCCAACTGAACAGGCGTGTGGCATGTTAACGTCACATATGAACAGTTCTTCAGATAAACTATAGCATAAACAACAGAACAGAACAAGTTTAACAAACTCTCCATCTCACTCCAAATCACTAAATCCATTCAATTCTTCATCCTCGGTGTCACTTCTGAACAACTCCACCAACTCGAGCTAAAATGATAAAAAGTGATAAAATAAGTTCTGATGTTAAATGAACATTAGTGAGTGGGATACGTCTTAATAACTCATACTCGTTAAATGCAGGTGAGTGCGTAAATGACAAGAAGAGATGTCTCAAATGTTCCCTCATACCTGATCAGTACACCTATCCCCGCCCCCAGGAGAGCCAGAAATCTACTGAAATCCTACAAGACACTGACAAAATGGTAGGCCTGTAACGAGAATCAATAAATCAATTAATCGTACGGTAATTTTTAACAAGCTCGATAACTTTTCTGGCCGCGATAAATTCTATTTGCATGTTTGTTTGTTTTCCGTGCTCTCTCTCGCTCTCAGAGACTGAATGTTAGAAGGATTCTACCGCTCTCTGACTCATCTCATTTAACAAGCGGAATGACGCTTGAACCAACGTGCGTAGTTTGGTTCAGCAGTGGTTTATTCAAGTGCATTTTTGTGAACAACTCCTTGCTGTGAGCCAGACTACATTAGGCTAGTCCTCTGTAGTCTAAAAAGTCTGTTTTATTTAGGTCTATTGTTTTTGGTCTTACAGTTCCTGTGTTAAATGTTCTTTAGACAGTAAGGTTTATTGATCATTGAGAGGATGTATTTGCGTTTTTATTCCATGGTCATTATATTAGATGAAATGGGTCTCAAAATGTCAATATTATCATTTATAACAATAAATTCTTGGTCAATGAATCATCCAGCAAAATCTGTTATTGTTACAGGCCTACATGATACAGACAGGACAGAGGCTCTTTCTGCAGGAGACATGCGTATTAGAACCAAGTGACAGTGGTACAGGAGGAACAGGAGCAGCAGATACTCGCACACAAGTCTAGAGCGCCCTCTTTTCAGTGTGAAAATGACAAACTTATGACAAAAATTATATATTTTAATATGTAAGTCACACTTGAGTATAAGTCGCAGGAGCACCCAGACCATGAAAAAAGTGCGACTTATAGTCCAAAAAATACGGTAAATTGAACTGAGAATATTTTCGTTTGCTATGGATCGTACCTGGATGACTAAAGGATTACACAGACTCGATTGTTCCTAAAGTTTTCCCCATAAAATCAAATTCTGTGTTCTGAATAAAAATAAAAAAGCTTTTGCCCATGAACCATCTTCTGACAACATTACAAATTAATTACTTTTTACACATTACAATTTTTAAATAAATCTTGTTGCTATTTTGCGATGATCAAACAAAAATCATAGCCCAAAGGCACAGCAACAGTCGAATCCGTACTGAGTGAATATTGCACTACAAACCCTCCGTTCAGTGCTGGGTTGATTTTATTATCGTGGTGTTAATTGTTACTTTTTTGGCAGGTATCTAAAAAAACGAGCACAGAGGAGAAGAACGGAAACGTGTCTGAGAGCGCGTCCGAAGAAGAACCAAAGACCGCACAGGAGCCTCCACCCTCCACCAATCAGAGTGAGGGGGGGAGGGGCTCTGACCAGGAAGTGGCGCGAGCGAACCCCGTCTTCCAACCAGACTAATGCAGTACCGCCTGCGACCACAAGACTGACGCTCATCCACTGACGAAACACAAACACAACATCCTACAACTGACTTGAACCATTTGAACCGTGTTATACTGCTGTTTCTACACCAAACAACTACCTTAAACTGTGTTCTTCTTCATTCAACCCAAAATGCTCTGTTCAACCTTGATGATGTCATTAGTTAATCCAGGAAGTGCTACTCTGTGTTTTTAAAGAGGGGGTATTATGCAATTTTTTTGAGCTGTCTACCATGTTATAACGTTCTCTCATCAAAAACATGCTTGATGAAGTTTTAGGTGTCATCCATGCATCTTTGAGTAATTTAGTGATCTCTCCAAGGCCCTCTTCAAACCTAGCCTGATTCATCAGCCGGTTTCACTACATGGAAACCGTCTGACCTCGCAGCATTAGGATTCGTTCGCTCGACGGTAGACGGGTACTTTTTTATTTAACCAATTGCTTCTATTTGGTCGTGACATATGTAATGCGCCAAATCCTGTAGGAAGAAGGACAATAGCGTCTTTTCCCTTGATAAAATTCAACAAAAACATTCTCTTTGTTCCAAGCTCTAAATCCTCGATCTCGGGAACTGATGCTAACACAGAATGTCTGTCTTCATCTACATTCATCTCGACGCTTTGTTTACTGTTGTGCTGTTCCACAAAAGGGACACAGACAAAGTTTGACGTCATGGCTTCACAGCTCACAGCTGATTGGCCAATGCGACGTCTACAACTTCCGGGGTTCTTGCTATCGTCTAGTGTATTCCAATTCCTGACCTAGTCTCTGGAGAGAAATTAAACTGAGCGGAGGCACTAGGTGACGCCTGGCTAATTCAAACCTTCCTTAAGGCTGAATTTAAAAAGTTCTATGTTGACTCAATGCACACTGCCGCCATCGCCATGGATCTACGCCGAGGTCTATGCGCCGCGAAGTGATTCACTGCCACAGCGCTAGAAGGCTAGGATTTAGAAGTGTCGTTTGTGTTTCCAAAAGGAAAGCGGAGTACCATATGTACAGTAGTATGTATGTAGAGTGGAAGTAAAGAGGACCAATTACTGCACTTATTGTCTGCGTCGCTTTCTCTTGAGGTCTGCCTCGGTTCGACGTGTAGTTAGAAGATTTCGGAGGTGTACATCGGTCGACAGAGATGCTCTCCAGAGGGGGGTTCAAGGCGACGCAGACGATTTAACGCACAACCATAAATCGGGCTTAATGGTTAGCTCTAAGATTCTGTGCAATGCTCCGCCCACAAGTCTACATCACCCATGCTCCCACTCGACAATTCTTTATAAATATACAAAAACATGATGCAAAACTGTTCACAAAAAACTTGACAAACCTGATGCGACTTGCAGTTGCTTCATTAGCGTGACGCACTCTGACTGTGTTGTGAAGGAGGAGTGACTTAGCGTGGAGAGCAAAGGGAAGACAAATTCAAAGCGCCAAAAACGAAAGTGAAACTCATAAAACATGTTAATACGTCGCTTTCAGTGAATATAACATTTTCCAAACAGTAAAAATTAACACGGTGATCTCAGTATGTTTCGTGTTCGCAGTTCATACCCCGCAGAAGTAAATACCCCCTCTTTAACAACCGTTTGGTCGAGGTCAGTGGTGTGTGCAGCCGGTTTAGTGACGTGACGGCCAATCAGAGCAAAGTTGAGGATAAAGAGATTGAAAAGCTGCCACAAATAAGCAGCAAACGTCTATGCAATGTATACGGAACTTTTATTTTGAGTTATAAACAGAGGTAGGTAGTAGGGATGTAACGATATCCAAATCTCACCGTACGATATTATCACGATATGCATCTCACGGTACGATATTTATTGTGATATTTTGGAGATAGGAAATTTTATTGCTTGTAAAATACCTTGACAAGATTTTGGTGTGAATTATTTCCGTCATAATCCCAAGAATTCAGGTAAAAACATATAACTTCATGTTGTCTGCGCTGAAATGAATCATGGGATATGTAGTTCCTGCTGTTTATTAGCTATTGCTACTATAAAACCTGCATTTAAGCAAAGGATTTTTGTAAATTTTTTGACAACAAGATATCACGATATTTTGGTTATTGTTACATCCCTAGTAGGTAGTACTCAGTTACATTTACTTGAATAACTTTTGAAAGAAATTTTACTTTTCTGAGTACTTTTATAGCAGCGTACGTTTACTCCTATATGAGTCGTTTTTTTTTTTTTTATTGAAGTAACAGTACTATTACTTGAGTAAAAGTTGTGTGTCCTTTTATCGTTTGTCTTATTTTATTTTTTTTATCTTTAGCCTTTGAAAACATCAGATTTTGTGCATTATTTAATATTTTACTCTACACTCACTTTCACAAATTATAAATCAACAGCTACTCCTTAAATTACTCTTACTTGAGTAGTTTTCCCAAATAATTTTTAACTCTTAGTTGTGTAATTCCATGGACAGCTACTTAGTTTTTATTTGAGTAATATTATTTTGAAGTACCGATACTCTTACTTGAGGACTATTTCTGGCTACTCTACCACCTCTGCTTATAAATCATAAAATACCAAGGGCAAGTATTTAAAAAAGTTCAAAACGTGTACAGTCATTTTAATGTCCACGGGTACAAACCAAGCAGCCGATGAGAAAGCAGGGTAAAGGATCCAAACGCAGGTCCTCGCTTGTATTATTTATTCTATATTTATATGATTGTCTACTGATCTGCTGCACTTTTTATGAAGGAATCTGACATTTTGAACTCCTTTTGAGAGGACAGTATTGCAGCCGGGGTCTTACACTGCCATCTAGTGCTCATCTAATGCCAAGAATGTTTGAAATGTGTTCATGTGGAATGTAAGTACTTGGTTTGAATAAAATTTGACATGGGAAAGACTTTGTTTACATGATTTTGATGTCATAATGTGTTTTTGACAAGGAAACAACATTATAACATTAAGAAAATAGTGTAATAGTTCTTTAAATATCCATCTAGCCAATCATTTGAGCTCATCACTTCTTATTTTTTGAGTATTTTGTTTCATGTTTTTCCAATTCTGACTTGGTTTCGTGCAATAGTACTTAGTGCTTCAAATGATTTTCTTCAAGGAGATGTTATTACTTAGTCTGGATAATAAATAATAATAAATTCACAATATGGCATTAAACCTTTCTATCTTCATGGAAACCAGACCAAGATAAGAAACAGATCAGATCTGTGGAGAGGCGATGCCGCTCACAGTCAAAATGTGTTTTTCTAGGTATTTTTGAGCTATAAAATCACTTGTAATTGAATAAATGTAAAGTAGAGTTTAAAATTATACTGTGGAACATTCCAGGTAGAGCAATGATGTATCCATAGAAACAAGCAGGTGACGAACCCCCAGACAAAACGTTACATAGTGCATCTGTAAGTGGGAGTTTGTGGGAAAACGTTGAAAAAGAAACTGACGTCTGAGGAGGTAGTGATGAGTTCCAAAACGGAAATCCTCTCTCTATGTCTTGTGTCTGAATTAGATGAGACAAAAAGGTAGAAAATCTCAATTTCAATACCAAATCTGATGCCACGATGATGCGATATGAAAAGACGTCGACCTTCTGACCACGTAGAGAACAACCTCCGGCTGAACGTCAGTAAGACTCAAGAGATCGTTGTGGACTTCCAGAGAGGCCACTGACCATCGACGGTGCAGCTGTGGAGAGGTTTTTTTTTACTTTTCCATTTCTTATTATTTATTTATACAATTGGGAGGGAGAAACACTATGTCTTTATATGTTTTTCGAATGGAGACTTGACAGACTTTTTGAACTTGAACTTTGATACTAAAATACACACTTTCTAGAATATGATTTTCAACATTAAATGGTCATATTTTCTTTTCTATTCCATGTGTTTTATATGTGTGTAATCCTCAGTGGTCCGAGTACATCATTCTAAAAGCTGGGACTTTTTCAGTATCGATACCTGCTCAAATTAGTATCTAGTTTTGATATTAGTTTTAGTAGCGATTAATACTGATTTTTATTCTTACCTAATCCCAGTGTTGGGAAGGTGACTTTTAAAATGTATTTCCCTACAAATTACAGATTACATAGCCTAAAATGTAGTTTGTAACGTAATCCATTAAATTACTTTAGGTGAGTAATGTAATCTGAATACTTTGGATTACTTGATTTGCTGTAGAGAAGCAAAGACTCGGATATCTTCCCATAAGATGTTTTGTTTGCCAAAAGAAAATAAAAAGCCCAGACTTTACTGAACCAAATTAAAAAAATATTATTGATAGAAGAGGAGGAGACACAGTCCACACGGCATGATTTAGTCCTGTTAAATCCTGTTTTAGACCTGGTTTAGTCCTGGTTTTATTCCTAGTTTAGACCTGGTTTTAGACCTGTTTTAGACCTGGTTTAGACCTGGTTTAGACCTGGTTTGGACCTGGTTTAGACCTGGTTTGGACCTGGTTTAGACCTGGTTTGGACCTGGTTTGACCTGGTTTGGACCTGGTTTAGTCCTGGTTTAGACCTAGTTTAACAGTAACTGTAACCAAATACAGTTACTCATAATTTGTACTCTGATTACGTAACTCCAGTACATGTAAATATTACTCCCCAACACTGCCTAAACCTAAACTGGTATGATTTTTTTTTTTTTATCTTTAAACCAGTCATGTTATTTATGTGCATTACTGGGAATAATACTTTATAAAATGTGTGTAGATACAGAATACTTAATATCTGCATTCAAATGTATTATACATTAATTAAAATGTACACTCTTAGTCAGTGTCTAAAGCAGTTTGATTGTGTTGAAGGAGGAAAAGCGCTGTATAAAAATGTGCCCATCTATTCAGTTACTTGTATATTACTTGTATGTATATTTTAGTGAAAGGTGTAGTTTAACCTCTCATATGCACTTAGACTTTTGGAGGGAGCTTGTGGAGTGGCTGGTGTTTAAGAGGTGTTTGTGTGCATTTGTGTAAGTGCTCCTCACACAGCAGCTCACACTCTGGAATAGTAATGACAGACTTGTGACATGAGGAGGCCTCTTCAGGTGGAGAGGGGAAAGTCTTCCTACACGTTCTCAAGTTGTAGACGTCTCCATTAAAGCTCTTAGAATATTTTTACCTCCTCAAAAACAAACCTGGAGTTGTATGTTATTAGGTTCTTTTTTCAGACGAAGAGTTTGTTTTCAGACCTGACAGTTTTGTCTTCTTCAGTGCGACCACGTGATGTTGCTGATGTCTGGTCATCTGATCTAAATAGGTTTCATATACGAAATAACCTGCATGTCCTGCAATAAAACACACATCGGGGAAACTGGGAGGGCGTTCAGTCAGCAAAAAAAGGAACATAGAACAGAATGTGAGAAGGAAACAGTGAAGGAGCAACAAAACACAAAGCAGAACAGGAACAAGTCAAATCATCCATTTGTGACACTGTAAAAGAGAGAAGAGAAAACAAACATCGTCACTGGATTAAAGAGGCAATCAAAATCAGAATTTATTTGTCATTTCAGTATAAAAAAATACACAGAATCGATACTGCACTCAGGTCCAGGTCAACAACAGCATAGATAATAAGAAGAACTAGAAAAGCAGTCAGAGAGCGCAGACCTCCGCCAAGGACTACCCCCATTTTTTATATAAATTGCGATAAAATCAGTCTTGTGGATCAGATCTGGATCAGCCTTTGGAATATGAAAGAGGATCCCATTGTCCATCCCTGAGTCAAATTTCATGGGGTTTGGTCAATAATTAACCGAGATATTGAGAAACAAAATTTTTGACCCCATTTACCACAATGTTAACTAAAATTTCAAAGTGATCCAGAATCCAGGATTTCTTCCGGATCACCCCCAAAATGAAATCAGTTCTTCCTTTTCACATTTCCAACAAATCCTGAAAATTTCATCAAAATCGGTCCATAACTTTTTGAGTTATGTTGCTAACAGACAAACAAAACAAACAAACAAACAAACAAACAGACAAACGCCGGCAAAAACATAACCTCCTTGGCGGAGGTAAAAAAGAAAAAAAACAGCCTCCACCCGCCCCCGTTTTCTAAAGTGTGTTCCAAGTCAGTGCTGTTGTGTAAGGTGCATTAGTGTCTGGAACAGGATTGATCTGTCTCACGGCATCAGGATAAAAACTGTTCTGGAGTCTGGTGGTCCTGGCCTGTAGGTGGCGCAATCTTCTGCCTGATGGGAGAACTGTAAAAAGTCCATGTGCTGTGGCTTTTGTCCTGCACCTGCTGATGTAAATGTGTTCAATGCAGGGCAGATACAGCCGCGGATGTGCTCCGCAGCTCTAACTACCTTCTGCAGAGCTTTTCCTCTCTGCCAATATGCAAACTTGCTCACAGGAGACGGGGCTATGAACCAGGACGAGGGGCTTTTTTTTACTCTCACACACCTGGGATACTGTCCTGAGGAGGTGGGACTGCAGATGGTGCTGTCGTCCTGCCTCCACTGGTAGAAAGACAGCACCAAAACCTGTTTAAATCATCTGAGCGACACTTTCCTTAGACAAGGGGAGGTGGCTGGGAAACACACTGGCACCATGAGAATTTTTGCATCTGCAGATGATTTGGACATGAGAGCAGACGTCAGAAGACAGTTTATATTCAGAGCAGAGATTGTTGAAACCAACCTCCAGCCTGATATTGTAATTTGGTCAAAAACAAGCAAACAGATGGCTCTTGTGGAATTAACTGTACCCTGGGAGGAAAGGACTGAGGAGGCACATGAGCGAGGCACTTGGTCTTTGAAATCCACCAGAAGGGCTGGAAAGCTTGGAACCTGCAGGTGGAAGTGGGCTGTCGGGTCAGTCTTTGTGGAAGGAGCTCAGGGCCCCTAGAGTGAGAGGTGCTGCCTGTAAGACGCTGATTGGGAACATCACTAAGCAGGAAGAAACCGCATCAAGACGACTTGGGCTTAAGAGGAACAAGCAATGGCCCAAACAAGCTGTCAGATGAAAGAGAGCAGAGAGTCGAGTGGAGGATCAGAGGGACGGAGGAGGTGGTTCCAGGACACTGGTTCCGCCTTCAAGTCCCCCGGAGGTGTTGAGGGCCAATTGAACACCGGTGAAAGGGGATGCCCACCTGAAGACCAATGAAGTCCCAAAGATTTAAACTGCTCTTCTCTGCTCCAGGAAAACATTTGTGATTTGTTTTAGACCAGTGTCCCACAACTAAAGAAGTGAAGAGTAAATAATGTCAAGTGTGGTGGTTGTGATGTGATATCGTTTTGTATTTGTCTTAATAACCTAACAGAAGACCAAATGAACCTCACTGGACTGTTTTGTTGAGTTGTGTTTTTCATGTGTTAATACGACAGAAATAATCCATTGTGTTTTGAAACTGCACACACCTTCACTAGAATCATTTGGATCATTTAGCTCTGGAATAGATGATCTCTTCTAAACAAAAAGTAAAAAAGAAACTGTTTGTGTGAAAACTACCACTACATCACATCAAAAGGCACAAGTGGAGACGTGCAAGTCGTGACTTGGACTCAAGTCAGACTTGAGTCACTGTTTTTAGGACTTGAGACTTGACTTAATAAAATGGATTAAGACTTGGGACTCGACTTGGACTTGAGGATCAATGTTTTGAGACTTGACTCGGACTTGATGCCTGTGACTTGAGAAGACTTGATGCTTCTCCTCCTAAATATGTTGTCAGAAAATACTTTTCTCTTTACAGTTGATAAATGCAGAGCTGAATTTTATAGGAACAAACTGGAACATGTCTCTCCCACTGTACAGTACAGTATAGTACAGTAATATACAGTACAGTACAGTACAGTACAGTACAGTACAGTACAGTACAGTACAGTACAGTACAGTACAGTAGTACAGTATAGTACAGTACAGTAATATACAGTACAGTACAGTACAATACAGTACAGTAA